TTACATTTATTAAATAATAGTTATTTCATACAACACCATTATTAACGATAATTATAAAGGTATCTTTAACGTCGATCTTTAACTTTCAAAGATTATTCTTGAAATTCCTGCAGCAATTAGGCCAGAATTATTTCATGCTCCGAGCGGTGTTAATGGCGCGAACGGTATTCTTTTGTGCGGCAGTTTCTCTGAAAGGATGAAATTACAACAGTATTATTCGTACTACATCTCTCTGTCCATCTCGAGAAATAACGCTTAATATCTGCGAAGAATAATAAATTAATTAATCGCGTTAAAGTATAAAAAAAAGTTTTATCTTCTAAGAAAAACTTCTTCAAAGAAAAAAAGAGCTAAAAATAAATATGATAAAGCTCTTTCGTTCCTCCAAAACTACAACAACAATTTATGACAAGTAACATCTACTTTATTGTCGCGTTTGTGACGAATGGCGGATTGCATGTTTACACGAATGAAATATCGTTTTTATCGGGCCAATCGTCGTTATATCTCATTCGCCATTTCGGGGTCACGTATTGCGCCATTTGTGCGCGCGCGTTTACCGTTCTTCCTATATTTTACGTGTTACGAGGCTCTAATCTTTCTCTAATCTCTCTAATCTCGTTGCGTACACACATACATTTTACTTTCAGAGCGCAACGATAAATTAGATTTCTAAATGCAGTCTCCAAAATATAACTTTAATTTTAGATAATTAAAGTTAATGTTTAGTTATTTTTACGTGAAACTCGGGGAATTAACACATGAAAAATAATATTCGAGGGAAAACATGAAACGTGTTTCATTTACAATACTACATTTTTCAGGATATCTAATAAATTGCAAAAAAAAGGTGATATTAAATATTGCAATAAATATATTTGTACAATTAATATTATTTTCATTCTTCCAATATTTGATATTAATTCAATACTCATTACACGATGTTTTAAATATTTTTACCGTTACATATCTTATTTTTAGCGCGTAGATACTGCAGATTCATATCTCTAAAAGGAGCATGTAAAGTATAAAACAAAATTACAAAGCAGATGTAATCTATTATCTGCATTCTTTATCTGCTTTTTCATTAGTATCACTGCGCTTACTTTACATCTACTATGACTGCGTAACAATTCTTCGGATTTCTTCAGTTCGTCCATCACATACTTCGTGTCCTCGGCTTCCATCTGCGAGTCACGGCTACCGCCATAAGTGCTCACGCAGATCGTTCTCGGGCGCTCACTGTTGTCGCTCGTTAAACTGACCTAGACGAAAGGATGCGGTATGCGTCGCAATGAGAGAGATGAAAATCATCTTGTTCACTGCATCGCGGAATTCTGAGCTAACTCGACACGCATAAAGACGAAGAAGAGAGGCTCTTACTTTAGATTCATTCGGACAGCGTCTTCGGGCGGGTTGAAAGCACTTCTTGAGACGATAGTAGAAAACTGCAGGCGGAAAAATCAGGAAGAACATGGTGTTTGAGAAAAATTCCGCTTTCCTGAAAAGCAGAATCACACTCGTGTAATTAACAACCGTGTCGTACACGTCTATATATTTACTCACTGTGTTCTCACCTGCTGCATATTCTGACGGTCCTTCTGCGCGTGTCGGGATGCACCGGTGCACCACGCTCATCCGTCACGACGCATTTACATTTTAATTCTCGCTCGAAGTACTCTGACATTCTGCTGGTTTCCAGCAAAGAATCCAAACCCCAACGGCTCACCGCCGGTATGTACAAACCGATTAACCATTTCAGGAAACCTAGAGGAAACGTATATCCTGATATTTATAATATTGTCACAAATGTTAAAAACAAACTGAGAGACAATGCCCGAGAAAATAATTGACGTAAATTATAAAAATGTAAAAATTATCCGGTAAACATGCACTTTGCGAATTGAAAAGAATTAAAAACACAATACGTTAAAAATGCTTTATTAACTGAAAAAATTCCAAATTATGAAAGTTAGAAACGAAAAATATTTTTTTAGTAGACGATTACATGATATTTACTAACCCATGAAAAGCAAAAGTAATATCAACGACACAATGAAGAGTAGAACGTCTATGGTTGTGTCGGAGAAAATATCGCGAGAAACCGCAGGAACAGGACCGCGAAATCCAGCGGCGTGATAAAGTTCTTGCGACATTGGTCGACAGCCTGTGCCACGTGTATCGCCCACACATACGCATAAGCACTGCAGCATGCAGGAGCAACGATCCATTTTTCGTATCTTTATCTTCCTGGTAGCCACTGGTTCGTTCACAAGACGGTTCAGCAATTGCACTGGCAAACAAAACCTCACAATTTTTGCTCTTGCTGCGCAAACAATCTCCCGCATATATTTTACACGCGCTACGACGGTAACAGTCGCGCGCAATATTCGATAGTTCAATAATTTACATAGAGCGACATAAATTTTCTTTTTTACATTCGCGAGAAAGAAAACAGAAAGAAAACAGTTGATTGACGCGTGGAGAAAATATAAGATCGTTGAATGCGAGGACGAAAGAATTAACTAAACATTATTTAAAAATGACTTTTTCTTTAGAAATTATTGTAATTTATTTATTTTTTAATTAATACGTAAATATTAGATTTACCAGAGCAGTAAAATTCGTTTACGGGCAACTCGCCGTAGAGATCCAAACTCACGATTTGATCTCGGCGTGGTTGAACTATTTTCCTTGGAAATGTAGCATTTACCCACGATTCCGGAAGATTATCGGAGCAGTCTGTGATTTTTGATCGATAGGACGTCGAAATCAGTCCTGTATTGGTCATCACGACCGTCACCACGGTGTGATCGAGTGCCGTGCTATCTACGCGTACTTCACTGATACGGCCGAAGGATCTAAGACTTCATAGCGCAATTAAGTTAAAAAACTTGACATTTACCAATTGCTTGTTGACACGCCTTGGTGAATTGTATAAACAAATTATTTTATATGAAAAATATTAATTTATTCTTTGCTTTAAATGTCACTAGCATAATTTTGCATTAACTATTGCTAGCACCATTCTCACAAATGGTTATTTTCTATTTCGAACGTAGACAAACTTTTAAAGAAAAATTAATCAATAGCCAGCTCTAAGTTACGCGGAGTAATTATCAAACTAGATTCCGAGAAAATTAGCGCGCAAAGTGTAAGCGACGTGGTTAGAGTTGGCAATCTCAATTGTAGAAACTAGTTGTATAGCTATCGCCATTCTCACCCTCCTGCGAGCGCAGCGTTGTAATCCGCCTTGACTTCGATGTCGATCGCAGACACGTGTGGCGAATGGTACTCCAGAGCGAGGAACTCACGGCTTCCGCTTCCGTTCGCGCTGTATTTGATGGGCTCACTCGGCACGGATGCGAAATTGCTCAAGAAGTAGCAACCGGGTCGGCCGGCCGCGCGAGCTTCCTGCCGACATATGACACTAGATCGAACGGCGGCCCGATCTTCGATAGCCGACCGGCGGAAATGTTCACGAGAACGCGGGGCAGTTTCCGACGTACGTTTGTGACGCGCAACCGTTATTCGCTGGTGCCGATAAATCTCGCGATGACGTATTATAGTTCGCGCGGGTCTAGATGGCTCGACAAACGAAACCTAATCGATTTCGCTCTTTCCAGATAAAATTTCTAATTTTTTTATAATTTTTTACTTTGCATTTTACTGCCAATGAATACAATCTCGCAAATTCTTACTAAAATTATTATACAATTTTGAATTTGTTGCTAAAAGAAACGGTTCGATTAGCGAATTATTGCACTCACAAACTTCTCGAAGCCTTTCGCTTGAAACAAATTGTTAGAAACGTAAAGCTTACAATAATTTAAAATAAATCTTAATTTGCTCATTAAAAATCTTGCGATATATAATACGTCGTTTACAGCGGTTTGATTCAGAAAGAAGAGCGCAATTTTGCAATACAATAATTCACATCATAACAATCACATCAAGCTCGGTGTCAGGCCATCGTTGCGGAACGAAAGATGGATTTAGTATTCCGCCGAAACGAGACGGGGGGGACGAATTCCTCGTCTCGCGTATCACAGAGAACCGACGTACAAAAATCCGTGCTGTCCCTCGCCGGACGGACCGATTTGTATGCAACTGTCCGTTCCCGTCGCCAGGACAAATCTCACCCTCGCAACGTTTTACGGGGGAATAAGTATTAAATTCGTGCGCGATAAATCATGTTATACACGGCGCGCACGGAACACACTTAAAGCGTCCCCACCGCTCGCTTACCGCGAAGCGCGACGCGCGACGCGGATAGCCCGAGGACGGGCTATTTCCAGCGTTGTTTCATTTATTGCACCTGTCATACGTACCGCGTCGTGCCTACGGTAGGCCAGAGGCTGATTTTTCAAACAGGTTCCCCTGACACGTCCGCACCGGTTTGGTTGCCCCGCAAACGCCGCGAATCCTACGCCCGCTTTGTCGCACTCGTTTCCATTCTCGTTAATAGCACTCGCTGGCATTACGAGATACTCGTTCGATTCACCTGTGTCGAACACCGAAATATCATTAACCAAATATTCTTAATTAGGCTTATTACATTTATGTCACGTTTGAAAAGTAATTGTAATTAATAAGCTTTCAAATTTTTAATATAACACTTGGACATTATTTATTTTAATTCTAAATCAATATTTTAATTCAATATTTTAATTGTTTAAAATCTCAATGAAATATTTGATAAAAAAATATTAAAATTAATTTCTACCACAACTATAAATTTTATATATATATAATATACTTCAAATCTGAAATTATTAATAACTAAATTAATCGCTTTCTACCGGATAATTAATTATTTAGTTCGTACAACAACTTCCGCGTGTCACTGATCGTGAGTTTCAAAGGAAGTTATCGAAACACTCGGGATTCGATACCTTCGATAGAATATCCGGAGCCTTTTGATGTTACCGAGGACGGCACCAAAAGACGATCGCGAACGACATCCAAATTAGGAACCTCCTCTTCCCGTCTCGGCGTTTTCACTTCCTTGTAGGCGAAAGCGATCGTATCTTCGCTGCCTCTATGGTGCCTGTTGAACGTGCCCAATCTGACGGCATAAACGACCTGTTTAGCGTGAAGTTTATCGGACCGCTTCGAATAAACACAATCGAACGCGCATTTAACCGCGAGACTCTCACCTGACTACGGAATTTCCGGTGAGATCCTCCCAGTAAGACGATCCATTTGCTAAAGCACGTTTTTCATAAACCTGAAGGTAAACCGTGTGCTCGATAATAGGATCCTCCAGCTGATACACAGAGTACCTAAAGAATTTCCAACATCAATAATTTCCCAGTATTTATTTCTTACAATTATTCGAGACAAATGTAAATAATAATGAATCATAATTGATAATTAGAAATTGTGAAAGTTTATTTGATATCTATATTCGAGAACGCGTTGAACACATCTTATGTATTGATTATCTGTTATGTAATTAATTTGCGACACGTCAACTGCAGAGACCGTCGAGAGCGCGTGACAAAGCACTCGTCTTTGCTTTTGTTGCGTCTAAATTGTTATCGCGTGTTGCATTGTGCGTAGAACGGAAAATAAATGATCGAGGACCATTGGCCACCGTTTTAATGTTTTAATAAACCATTGCCCCGCGCTACTATTGTGTGCTTCGTTGCTTTACGATATTTTTAATCACTTTTCGTGACAAGTAAAATGACGCTCTCTGTAACAAATAACGCAAAAATTTTCTATTATTTACTGAATAATGATATTTCTTTCAGTTAATAAATTTGCACAAATATGACCATACACTTTACGCGATTAAATTTGTATTCACATTTCACATTTCAAAAAAGCGTACACTCTTTCCATTTTATTGCAGTTTCAATTTATCTTTCAGATTTTTTAATGGTACCGTATTTTGTTTTTATACTCTCTGATAAATAATTTTCCCGACTTTCATTTCCTACGATATTCCTTGACAAATTCGCAATTGCAGTTTATCGAGTAATGAATAAACATTGAAAATATCCGCGTTCGGCTCTCTCGTGTCTCAACGAAACAGACGCGATATCCGCTACATGAATCACGATTTCGGCCGCCTTAAATCCCCACGGCGACCTACCATAGATTACTAAAACGCAAACAATGCGCGGACTCGAGATATTTCGCCGCATCGGTATTCGGCGGGTGTCGGCGATCCGTGCAGTCTTGACCACCCCGGATTTGCGCGCGGCCAAGATCGGCTTCCGATCCATCGACCGTTCGACTACCGCCGTCTTTGCGCCGTCTCGCGTTTCTCCCTGCGGACTTCCGAAAATCATCAACATCTCGTTCCTCAGCTATATGGCGTCTCGGAAGTCCCGCCGCGACGTCATCGACGTTATACACCGGTTCCGATTCGAGAGGCGTCATTAATAAATGTCTCTTGAAACGCTGATTTCCAACCTTCGCGACGTTTTTCCGTTGACCGCCCTTCTTCCGCTTCTTTTTTTGCCACTTTGTTTTTTTCTTCTTTGTCGGGCTCGGAACCTTCCGCTTTTTAAATACGCGATTACTTTTCTGAAAATCGCGATGCTCGCCGATATCTCGTTTCTTTTCCGAAGCGCTGTGAAACAATGTGAGATTATAGTATCATCTGGAAGTAAGAAGACTACATAGAACATTTTATTGTAACACGCAAAAATTTGTTTTTGTAATTGAATATCTTCTTTAGGGAATTAAAGGCCAGAAATTAGAATCTTTAATCAATAAAATACAAAATGACTATTGATAGAAAAAGCGCGATTAAAGAAAAAGAAAATGATGTATTTTAGCAATAATTTAGTATCTAAAAAATAAACATTCTAAATAATAATTTAATTTAGAACAGATTAAATACACATTTTCTACGCTGAATTTTGGCATAGAAGCAATCTCATTATTTCGATAACAAACCTTATATGTTCTTTCCAGGTTTCTTCGCCGACTTCAGAAATGCTGGGATTATTATTGCCAGTCGAAGTCGGCGAATATCGAATTGCGTTTGCTTTTTTCAAGGAATCTGCTCTTTCTAACGAACTTAATCCTCCTCTGATGGATAAAGCATCGTCGGTCGAAAGTTTCGCCGCGGGGTCGCTTCCGATGACGCCACGTTCCTCGATCTTAAACGAATCACTCCCACTGTTGCCGCGATTTGGGTCACGAGGGCGGTTAATCTCGCCGCGGACACGCCGAAATGCGACTTTTTCCGTCGCCATAGTTCTGCCCGATTCCCGGCGTTTCTTATCGACCGGTAGCCGCGCGGTCGCCCTATGTTCCCCGATCCAATCTGCCGGTGAACCTCCTCCCGCGGAGCTATTAAGCAATTTCGTTCTCGTGGCGTGCCGATCTGATACCCTCGCTCTCCTGGCCTTCCCTGATCTCGTCGAGCGGCCGGATTTGTCTTCTCTCGCCGCGCCGATTCTTCCTAATAAAGCACCGCGCGAGACGTCGGAATCGCGCAAGAGCATCGGTCCGATAGTATCGTTAACGGTCCACCGAAATCCTCCGTTTTTACTTCTCACCAGATATTTCTGTCGAAAAGATGCCGACGCGATTCTATTCCTTTTGAAATTTGTCGTTGACGCGATTTCTTGTTTACCGAGGCGAAGTCGATCGGCAGCGGGCCTTCGATCTTGATTTTGCGGCCACAAGCGATTCGTTTGGCCGTCGTCCAATCGTGATTCCTTTCCTCCCGAATCCGCCTTTGACTCGTTAGAGGCAACGTTCGAATTTTGTTTCACGCCCGTTGGATCGGCGTTTGTATTCTCTCGAGACACGTCCTTGAGTCGACTTCCGCTCGGAGGCGACTTCCGCTCGTAAAATAGAAAGGACTTCGGCGTTGCGGAAGAAGTTGCGCTCGATAAAGCGAGAGCATTCCGTTTCGTAGAAGTCTCAAAGAGCGTAGATGATCTTTCGTCCTTGAGCACTTCGTCGGAAGAAGTTGGCAAGGTGAATACTATCGGATGAGACGGTGCTTGGGTGAAGGACTCAAAAGTATTTTCGTCCATAGATAACGATTCCGCGCGAATCCTTTCCGTCGACCGCCACTCAGTGATCATAGGATTCTGCTTCTTTCTCTCCGATGCCGTCGTTGTCCTATCAGTGATACTCTGCTGCTTTTCGACGTTATTCCGACTGTAACTTGACGCATTAACGACAGTGTCCTTTACGTGAATTATTGTTTGTCCGATATGAGTTCCAGGAGGCTTCTCCTCCTCTGAGACGATTCTCAGCAGTTTCATCACGAATCTTATGATAGCCATCATATTTTTTACGCGAACTGCGTTCGTCGATTCATTGTTACATTTGCCGCACGATGTTTCAGCAAGAAGCGTCTTACTCGTCGTGTATTCCATCGTGGTTTCAGAAACGCCGTCCCGCGATTGCATTGACGACGAGGACCTCGTGATTCCCGCATTTCGGTCGTTTGTAACCGCTTTGCGGATTCCAGACGGAAAAGTTTCTGCGGGATCACTGCCGCGATAATTGCTCCAAGTTTGCAACTCGCGGGAAGTCGTCTCGGGAAGTTCAAGTTTCCGAACGGTCGTCGGCATTCTGTAACAACCGCCGGAAGTGGCGTTTCGCCAGTCCTCGCCGGGACAACATATCGTCTTGTTACTCTCATCTTTCGTAAAATTGAAATTTAATTCTTTATTTCTGTCACGCGTCAACGGTACGATATGAAGAGTCGTATTTTTAGAATCGAATCGATTTGTCTCGATCGAAGGAGTATCTGTTCGACTCCGAGATTCTTTAATCGCGTCCTCATTTTTCAAGCTATTATTGTTAATCAGAACGGATCCTAAAATGTCTGGAAAACGTACCGGACTTACGGATGAACGTGGATTTAATTTGTTTGTCGCCTCGTCAGCTTGTGCAGAAATCGTCTTTCCGATGCTTGACGTTCTGTCGATTTTGTCGTCCGACGCAATCGCCGGCTTCAAGTAGTCCGTTAGAATTACCTGTTTGTCCGATCCCGAGTTTCTGTTATACTTGTCCAATCTCTTTTCGATTCGGGGGGAATTTTCTTTTTTCTTTTGCTCTTCTTCATTTCCTCGCGCCAAATCGAAAAACTTCTCACGCGACTTTATCGCGACTTCGTTCATCCTCTCGACTTCTCGATCATCGCCCGATATCATGTTTAACGAATCATCCGCCTCGTCATTCGCGCGTTCGGTTATGGATGAGAGATCAAATGTGGATTCCGCGCTTGAATCATCGAGTAGGAGATTAATGGCTGTGCTCTCGACCGTCACGATAGTGTTCGATGAACCTGCGGAAACTGAAGTTGCAGCAGATCTATCGGGAATGGCATCGAAGCTTATCAGCACCGGCGTCTGATTGAAACCGCCGCTCACTTGAATTCTTCCAATTAATGAAATTTTTATGTTTTCTTCGTTTTTCGGCGTTATTGAACTTTGTGAGAAATCAACGTTGCCAAATGTTTTTTCAACACCTGATAGATTCTGATTAGTCGTAGTAAAAGAGCTTTCTGTCATAGGGAATGCAAGTGTGGGCTGAGTTCCGTAAAGAGATTCGTCTTGCGAATTATCTTTATTGATCTTCTCGTTTAATGAAAGTGGCTCTTCGTCAATTTCTTCGTAAGTTTGAAAGCTTCTTAAACTATTTTCAGGAATATCGAAAGTTTTCTTCTTCGCAAAATTCCTATTATTGACAATGTTTTTGATATCAGATTTTTCTTCGTTTTCGATAGGAGCTTCTAATATCTTATCGTTGAATTTGGCGGGATAAGTCGATTCGAGAACAGCATCAATGTTGTGTTCTTTAGAATTTGTGTTTGTGTTCGCAACTTCTTTCCTGTTATTCCTATAATTGTTACTATAATTAACAATGACAATATATAGATAAATAGTTGAAGTTTGTGTGTAATTTATCGAACGTTATGTTATTTAAAATAATACTGCGTTTTCAATTTTTTATTTAAGCGACCATATTTGTTCAGTTTTCTGTATGTATTTTCTAGTTGTTTTTCCATCGTCGTCGAGTAAATTTAATATTACAAAAAAAAAAACATTAATAATATAACTTTTTAAATCAATAGCTTTTTAAAAATATATACGATAAAAAAAGTATACGATAAAATATAAGAAAAATTAGCATTTTTCTATAAAAATTAAATAATTTAAATACTGTAAAAAAAATTTAAATTATATTTAATTTTTCTAGAAATAATGTTTAATTTTTTATAAAATTAAATCCTGCATCTGTGTCGAAATTTGTATCTAATATCAATAACCTCGAGATTGCTTGTTCAACCGTTTGCACATCAGAAATTATTGCAGCATCCCTGGCCTCAACTGTTCCTTTCTCCGGCACTATAGTTCGCGCAGCATCGATGTTCCCGCCTTCTGATCGATCCGTCTCGGCCGCCAATTTCCGCGGATCTCGATCCCCGCGCAGGCCAACTAGATTCTCCAGGTCCGATAAATCATCCCTCCTGGCGATAGCTTCATTATCGCTAGCCGAGTCATTCTCTACGTCCGTCTCGCTTTCATCATCCTCGTAATACTCATCGTCGACATCCGCGATATAGCTGGATTTTCCACTCGACAATAGTCGTCTGCCTGATCGACGCCAATTCGCCGGCGCGGATCGATCGACGCGTACCTCGTCTCTCGCGATAGTCCCCGCGATACCTGCGTTGTTCGATGATGACTTCCCCTTCTTGATCTTGCGGATCATTTCGCGGATAGTATCGTAAACCTTGCCTCGAGGACGTCGAAGATATTCCTCTCTGGCGTAGACGCGACGCACTCGAGGGTCCACCGGATTTTCATTAATCTTACTCGCGTCCTCGCGTTTTCGTTGTTTTACAACGGAGAACGACGGCGGCGGCGGCGGCGGCGGAATCTTTTTATCGACACTTTTAGCCGTGACGTCAAGATCGCGCGTCTCGCTCTTATCGTCCGTTATCATCAATTTCGCGCCGCGAACGATGGTATCCGTTTCACGACTTTTGTCTCGGTTCCCGGGTTTTTTTGCGGAACCCGGTAATATCCGATCCGTCGTCCTCGACTTCTGCCGCGGTTCCGCGACACGGCTCGACAAATCGTCCGCGTTCGCGCTCGCGGTTCTTGCGTTCTCCGACAGGTTTACCGCGATTTTTCGCATCATCACGATCCTGTCGACCACCGCGCGCTCGCCGAAGTCACGTTTCCTCATCTGTGTTCTCCGATCGATTTCCAACCTTTCGTGCACCGATCCGGAAAGATCTTCCCGCGACGTTGGAATTTTTACCAGATCCGGAGACAGAGTGCCACGTGTCGCGGACGTAGCTTTGCAATTTTTCAACAAAATGTTCTCCTCAAATTTACTAACTACGTCATCTCTCACATGATGTGGCTTCGGGAAAGTTAAGTTTTTTAAATTGCCTTGCGTATTCGGCTCCTTCTTTTGCGCGTCTACATTGAAATATCGCTCAAGATCGTTGACGGCCTGAAGTTCGATCTTATGCGCCATGATATCTTGAAGAGTAACATTGTTCCTTTGTGACTGATTCCGATTTTCGCGATTGTGCTGAAAGGATTTCCGGTTCGCAGGATAATCCAATCCGGCTAATCTTTTTTCAATTCCAGAACGTAATTCAGTCGGCTCTGCCATATCCAAAGATTCTCCGTTTTTATTCCACGCCACTTTTCTACTCTGCCGATCTTTTTCATCTTTTGCTTCATAATCATTGAAGACTGAAAAATCAAGATTCAAGTCCGACCTCTTGCTTCTCGCCTGCGCAATATCGTCCACGGCGCTGGAAGTAATCATCATCGATGAAGTCCATTCCGAGAAAGCGTTCCGAAAATAATCTATCTTAGACTTGCTACATGCTTTCTTTCTTTTTTCGGCTCTCTGTAGTGCCTTAGATTTATTCGCCGGGATTATTTGTTGCATCTCCGTTGTACGATGCCAAGGATGATCCTCAGCTTCCTCTTCGCTCACTCTTCTACTCGTCATTTTTATATTCATCGTAGAATTAGTCATTTTCTGCCGTTGTTTTCCGCTTTTGCTCGCTTTTCCTTTCGACGAGATATTTATCTTAGATTTTCCATGTTGAAATTTCCGTTTAGTAATTGTCGTTTTCTGACGTGTCGTCGTGACTTCCGTTTCATCAGCAAAGGTGGTCTCGTCCAGCGAGACCTCGTCGTGCATCTCTTCCGGAAATGACGTCGTTTGCAGGGGACGTATCGACGGTCGGAAAGCCACGTCTGTGATCATCGTGGTGGTCGCCGATGTCGTCGCGAATTGAGTGACGGTTGTCTCCTCATCGGGCGGCAAGGTTTCCGCTTCCGTGATCTCGTTGAATGTCGGCATGCCCGGCATGACGGGCGTGTACGACGCATACTGTCTTACAATTCGATCCACCAACTCGGCAATCTCATCTTTTTCTCGAGACTTCTGCGACCTCCCAGAGGACTCGCCGTTCGCCAGAACGCTATTCGAATTCTCTAGAAGCGGATCCTCAGTATAACGAGAGTCTTCTGCATCCTTGTTGCCGCTCGGCGCGGTTTCCTCCGGCTTAATAACCGAATCGCTACCGCGTAATGAAGGCTCTGGCTTGACCGGCAAGCCCCGAGGTCCCGCAAAATTGCCGGCAATCACGCGTGAAGAGTCGTTATTAAGCCCGAGGAATCTCGCGTTCTCCGCTCCGTCTCCTTCGCCCTGCTTTCGATTATTCAGCGCTATAGAAGTTGTTGCCGCTTCCTTGGAACTCATCCAGCCGCTGGGCGATGTTCTAAGTGGACCGCTGACGTCCTCGAAATAGTCATTGACATTTCCGCCGCGTGGAGTCGCCGGCGGAAGTTTCCGCGTGAAAAATTTCATTCGCCTCGTTGCGAAGTGGTTTGCATAAGTCGAACTTCTCGACTCGTCGAAATTCATCTTCTTCGAAGCATTGTATTCAGGTATTCTCATAATCGGAGATGACAAAAAAGGACCGAAAATGGTAGAAGATAGTTTTACTTCCGGTTTGAGAGCAGCGGACTCCTTATAGTCGAACGGATCATCTTTCCGCGTAATTGCTGACGAAGTCGCGGCGGTTTCGTTGTTCGTCAGCATGAATTTCGCAGTCGTGAGATAGTTTCCGTTCGCAATCGCTCGCTGAAGTGTATCGATCGATTTTGCAGGATATTCGCGCGTCACTTGGTCGTCCCGATTCATAACCGGCTCATCCGATTTGTCACTCTTGCGCGAAAACAAATCGTCCTTCGGTTCGTCGTCCGGAATTTTCGGGATATCGGCACTTGCGACTACGCTCGTTGCGACTGCTCCAGAATTCTCCGGAGTTTTTTGAATAATTTCCATCTTCTCGGCGGGCGAGTCCTCCTTCAGGACGTCGCTTATTCGCGCGAACTTGTCCTCGATCCGCTTATCGACGTTGCTCTCTTTTCCGCCCTCATTGTTGAAGAGGAATGGATTATCGCTCTTCTCGGGCTGGACTTTCCTGTAGGAATGACCGGATTGCAAAATCACTTGTTTCCTCGGACTTCCGCTTCCTCTAATCTCCGACATTTCGCATTTAGAGTGAGCTGCGTTAGGTTGATCATTGTAATCTACGAAAACTCGCGTTTTACGACGCGAACCTTCATTTCTCAATCTTGCTTTTTGAACGTTCGTGAAATTAAAATTTTTATTTCTAGTTTGAAGATTTCTCCGAAGACGTTTTTGAAAATGTTGCTCGCGCAGCGAAAATCCATCCGAAAATCCGTCGCGTTTCCATGTCGATTCGCGGCTTAACAAGGACTTGCCGAAGCGTTTTGCGTCGCTTTTGTCTCGAAACTTCCTCGCGTCCTTCGACTTCCGCAACTTTCGACCGCGCTTCCGGAACTTGTAACCGTTTTTCAAATTCACATGTTTCGACGCACGCTCGGGCGAGTTGTAAATTTTGCGTGTTTCTCGGCCGTCATATAAATTTTCATAGTCGTCGGAGGAGGATCCGCGTATCCCGTTCGCCAATAACAAACCGCGAGTTTTCGAATCCTGGATTCTCGTCGATGATTTATCCGCGGGACGAGCGGTGGCGGCAGTAAGCGCGGATAATTCTTCCAGCCTCGAAATTCCAACGGAAGAAGAGAGATTTTGTAATCTTGTAAAAGCAGGAACGACCGAGATTCGCATTGATACATTAGCATTTCCTGCCTTTCCCCGCGCACTGCTCGCATTATCATTTCGAATCGCGAGTGCACTTAAGTTCTTCCTCTCGAGTGACGCGTTTCTCGACGCGCTAACATTATTCGCGATGTTCTCCAGCACCCTAAATCCATATTGACGTCTTTCGCTCGCCGTTGACGAGTGCGTATCGGATATTAAAATCTTCGATAACAGCGCGATCACATCTTTCTCGAAATCATTCGACTTCATCGACGATGTGACGCTGTAATTAATATTCTTATAATTAGTATCGCTCCGAAGCGGGATCTCGGACGAAGCGAAAGACCCAGCAGGCGTAACAAAACTTTCGTTATCAGGCAGCGCAGAGAATACATTCTTTTCCGTCCGTCTCGAAAATTGACTCTCTTCCGGAATTCGCGACGAGTGTATCGCCAGAGATGTTGGTGTGTAATCGAAGGTATTTTCCAGCCGAATTGCGCCGCGGGATCGATCCCTCGCCCTTTCCCCGCGATTTCCACTTTCCGAAACGTTCACCAGTCTGTCGCATTTTTCCAGCTGGAGAAACTTTCGATTATCCTCTTTGCTGTCTGTTTTCCTAAAGCCCTGTTCATTTTCTAACTTCGTTAGTTCCGTAGTTGAATTTCGTGGAACATTCGCAACTGAGCCGGAAAGCGAAGATTGGCCGTCACTCCGACAGTCGAAGAACCGCGGGCTCGTTTCTCGGAATTTTAATTCACTGAAATCATAATTACTTTTTGTATTCATTAATTTCGCAGTCGAGTTTCTAGGATTATCCATGACTGATCCACGAATCGGAAATTGGCCGTCGCTAATCCGCCGTTCGATGATCTGCGGGCTTGATTCTTGCAGTCTACTTTTCCAATTGCTGAGGTTCCCGTCCAATAAATCGTTACTCCTATTATTATCCTCTTGCTTCATGGCCTTTTCCTTCATGGATTGCTCATACACGCTATTGATGTAGGCTTCAATCTTTTCTTTACTTGGCATTGGATCGAAGAATATATTTTTCGATATAGGCGACGCGCGATTCACATTCCGAGAAATGTCTTCGGACAATCCAGTCGAATTGTCCCATTTGTCTTCTTGTCGATTCCGAAGAGGCGGCGCACGCTCGCCAAGTAGACCATTAACAGCGGAAATATTGTGGCTCGTTACTCGTTCTCGCGCGTTCTCCGGCTCGTCGTCGCGGTCGTGTTCCTCGTTCTCGCTCGCTTCGAGCTGGCGTTGTGCCTTCGGATTGTCAAATAAATTCGTGCTCGACTCGGACCTGTTGCGAGCTCTGTTTGCGTTGCCGTCCCACTGGTGATAGTTTGACTTGGCGGCGGTCGAGTAGAAACTTTGGACGTGTTGTGCGTCCTCGCAAGAACAGCAAAAGCCCTGAAACCGGACGAAGCGTCTTGTTACGCGCGGCTCTTATTACCGAGATGAAACTTGTCCAAAGTTTGATTAAATAGCTCGTCCTTGTCGGAGCAATCTAGACAATAAATTGTAACAATTAATTATACTTATGTTTTGATATTACAATTCTTACTCGGCTAAATGGTATTGGCTCTTCGTTAATTAACATTTGACCGCAAGTGGGATTCTCTAAGCCGTCGTTACATCCGGTGAAATTTGCTCGACGATTGTTAATAACTTCTTCTCTTGCTTCCGCATTGACAATCTTGTTTGAAATGATTGATATAGAGTAAATATTTTTTGCTTTTATTATAACATGCAAGTAACTAAAAAATAATGCACGTTGTATCAACAGTTCATATGCATTCATGTATCAGGCTTGGATAATTCAGATTGTATGAAGGGAAACTATTTTGTCGACCTCGATCAATAAATTGAACTTAATTGATAATTTATTTTTGTAGATAAGTACGCGTTTACACAAAAATTCTATTATTTTGTTGCACTGAAAATTTGCTATTATTATTATCATTAATATTAAATAAAGACTTGCACGTTATAAATTAATCAATACACACACTTACGCCTTGAAATCTTAATCCGTATAAATGCAGCAAAGATTCTTGGCGGACTTTAATGACGTATGGATTATGCAACTGGATTTTTCGCATTTTTACCGGATCCAGCACGTGATCCACTAGTACAAATTCTTCCCGCGTGTTTGTCTAATAAAATGCAAAGCATATTTCATAACTTTTGTCCGCAGTAATATGCTTAATTAACAGTATATCAACATTTAAAAAGTAAAAAAAAAATTACAGTCACAACTTTTATATCAAAATCATAAATTAAAAAATTTTGATAGATTAATTATCTATATATATATCTTTTAACAATACCTTTCCAACATTATTAATCTTCATGCTAATAATCACCTTCCTTTTACAATTTCGTATCGGTTGTCGCTGCGACATTTTTCCACTATAAAAATACCAATCAAAGGTATTATCATTTATTATATTGCAAATTATATTAACACTTTATTGTTCAAATTAATTCAAATCAAAATGTATTTACACTTTTTTCCGCATTTTTGAACAATGGACCAGTACAGCTCTAATTTCGATCCATGGATGAACTTGATCGACCAGTGGTTCTTCGATCGAGGAATGTCGGTGATTTTTGTGTTCAAGTTGTTCTTCGTCAAGTTTTTGTTGGGGCCATCGTGATATGCAGTTGGGATTTCTCGATGGATGATATTCGGGAACATATTGGAACTCTGATACATAAGGATGAAAATGCGCGGTGACACTTTCAGGATGAGGGCCGATTAGCGCGAGTACCATCTAAAATGTTAACCAAACGCAATTTTAATCTTTATGATAGTATCAAAAATTATCAATGAAATTAACAGTAAAAATTTTATTTTATTAATTTATTCATGTAAAACATATAATAATTTTAAATTAAGTTTTATTCTATCAATGTGATATAATTTTATTAATGATATATAATAATTAATAAATCTTGAAGATCTCAAATATTATAATAATAAACCAAAGTTTACGAAAATGAGCTGTCAAATCAATGCCTGCAACATTATCCAGAGCATCTTGAAAGGACGTAAATGAGCTGGTGACATGTTAGATTATCTGCAGTGCGGCATTGTTATCACTTGTTGGGCTCATTTCAAATGTAGAACAGCATCGATTCTTGCACATTCCATCGTAATTCTTGACGCGATGCACATGTGATAATCACTCAAAAGGACTAGCAAGCCTATCAAACTTCCATTCGAATAAATAAAATAATTCTGTAACGTCAAGAAATATGCTTCTTGCGATTAATAGATTTTTTGCGTATTTTAATGTGTATCTTAATCAATAAGAAAATTCGGGGATGTAAGGTTATAATTTTATTTGAGTCACACGAAGTAAAACTCAAAAAGGAAATTGTTCGCCTGACAACGCGATACATTTAGATTCTCATTTATTTATGCAATATTATTATTAGATTGAAAATATATTCCATACTATTTTAAAATAAAAATTATATGATGATATAATTTCAATGCAATCCAATTAATTGAGCTATAAAAAGGAATACAACTTAGAAAATAAAGAAACAATAAAGTTTTAAAATATTTTTTAGTAGTTTATATCTAATAGTTACAATTGATATAATATTTAATATAAAGAAATAATATTTTTAATTCACGAGCACCGATTAGGTAATTATTTTATCGTATTATTTTACTAACAAGCTTCGATTTTTTCAGCTGCAGAACGGCATCAAGCTTGAAGCAACAGCATCCACGCTTTGTTTAATCAACGCCCGCATGTAAGTAAAACTGGCAATTGTTGATTCACGCTTTCGCGGAGCGAAGACATATTTAAGCGTGTGACTCTCAGATCGTAACTCTTTCAGAAGCCTTTGAAGTATATTAAAAAGATGTGAAATATACGAGACACAGATGTGTTCTAGCTTTTAACTATTTTTAAATTCTTAGACATCATCGCTTTGCTTACGTCATTAGACTGATGATTCACAAGTATAGGTATAACAAATAATTGCTAATCAGTATCGTAATTGTAACAATTTACGACAACTGATAATTCTTATAATTACAATAAATAGGAACAATAAGATAGACAGATAAATTTTTTTCATTATTAGTTTATTCTGACATTTTAAGATGTATGGACAATTATTACATAATAATTTTATATAATGAAAGGTTCTCCATGGTGGTAACTTTATATAATGAGAGGTTTCACTCTTTTTTTTCCTTTTGTAACGCTCGCCCTTTCTCTCTTTCTCTCTCTCTCTCTCTCTCCTCCCTGTTGATCATCCCCCTCTTAATAAGACTCTTACACATCATTCTTTCACAACGGAAATCAAATAATGATTATTAAACTATGAATGCAATGCGTACGCTCTTGATTATTGATCGTCAATTAAACATTATTATTCACTTTTTTTAGTTTATCTTTATCATTATCAGTGTGTTATAATAATTACCATTAATCATTATAATTACGATATAACGCTATAATTAATCCTCCCACTCAATGTACTGCATTTTTGCTCACTTCTAGCCGTGATAACGGCAGAGAGAGAGCACGTTCTTTTATATATGATAGGATGCATAGCGAACATGTCGCGGCTGTTAGTCGGCACAATAAATTTCCACCTCGCCTCGCTTTATAATCGTCATTATAGTGGTATTTTTTTCACTGGGAGGCCGTCTCTTCGAAAGGATCTTTGTCGTCCCTTTCGACTTCTTCCGCGAACGCAAGCTCCTCAGGGCGGCCTAGCCGCGTCCTCGACTTCCTTCTTTTCGCGACAGATTAACAAAGAAAAAACGAGAGAATAACAAAAAAAGTACAACAGTAAAAAAATAAGTAGATCGGAAAAATTAATCTCTGAATAGGAAATCAGCTTGGAAATGCAATGTTTTACGGCTCACAGTCTCTAGAGGTTGGCGCGATCCTTCACACCGTGTTTCCACCAATCCGCGATTCCTACTCTCTTACGTTTGTCACACGTGAGAAGCGCGCAACTGTACTCGGTATATACAGAATGCTCCAGACTTATCGAGAAATATATTGTAGGCAAACTTTTCAGTCAATTTAAGGTCAATTTTTTAGCACAAATTAAGAAGTTTGTATTTGAAAATTTTGCAATGTTTTAATTTTTTTAATCTATAAAGCAGACTCGACCCGAAATTAATTAAAAAAGAAAGAATTTTTATCCCCGAAACGCTCCGAAGAAAATTCTTATATTTTAAGCATAACATAATCTAATTTTATTTTTGCCATAAATATTTTCACCAAATTGATCGCAAATTTGTCGAAAAATTTATCTATAAAATATTTTTTCGACGAGTCTGGAACACGCTGCGTGCAAACTTAAACGAGCAAACGCCGTCAGGTATACACGTGTACGTACATGTACGCGTAGACATTTAGTTGTTACGTTTTTGGTTCGATTACGTGACTAGAAATGCTATACACATACGCGTCATCCATCCGTTCACGCGCCCGCACACTTACATACATAAAAGTATGACTTAGCAATAATATAACTAGTACGTATCTCTATATTTATATATGTATAATTATATTTATATATATATATTACTCGTCACAATAGCTTCTACCGGCTGTGTATTAAGCTAATTTTACAACAATATGGCAATCATGGTGAATAATGAATAATACAGCTACGTTATCGCGAAACTACAGTCAATAACACTAATTTTAGGGACGATAATGCAAAATAAAAGAACTCGCATCTCGGATACAATTTCACCAAGCGAAATTAAGTTACGCCACGAAGCAACTCGTGCTATACACAGGCTGTCCGCATGAAATGCTTTTGGATTCATCACAAAAACTTCGCAACTTTAATTAATTTGTCATCGACAAAAGTAGATCTAAGTATTTTTTAAATAAATTAGCAATGAAAATAAATATCCGTTTAATCCAAATAAATAATAAAATAAAATCGTAAATTTCCCTATAAAAGAAACAAAGATAATTTTATGTAAAAAAATTCTCGTAAGTAATAAAAAAATAATAAAATAGTTCTTCGTAAATTCTCGTGAACAATTGCTAATTGTTTCAGTTGCGACGTTTTTAAGTAAGCATCCATGTCGAATAAAGAAACAAAAACAAAGTGAAAAAATATTCCTCATCAATCTTACTCCGCAAAGCATAATTACGCTATCCCTAGATTCCCGCGAGCATTCAGTCCTCTCTCATCAACGAGAACTCGACTTATCTCGGACAAACCTCTCGCGGCATGACTTCCTCGAATTCTCAATTCCGTGCTTTTGTTATCTTGTCAAAGAAATCACGACCGCATTAATTGTAAGTGACTTTTCTTTAGCACTACTTTCCCTTATTTACCGCGATTCGCAGATTGATATGAAAATGCCTTGGATCATTGCGCGCAATCGACATATACATATTTGAATAAAAAACTATTCAGAATAACGTTTCGATAGATTAAAAAAATAATCACCGCTTTAAAAATTAAATAATGACGAGATAGAAACTAAAATAAATCTCTGAACTCACATCTGACAGATGACACAAACATCTAAATGATGTTATAAAAATCTTTAAAAGATGCTCCGATTTTTCAGAAGCTTCTCAAACGCTTTTAGACTTTCGACGATTTTTAGGTGATATCGTATCGTTTGAGATATTTTATCACTAGTGAATGATCCGGGTAAAAGAATTGAATTTTTCTAATGCACGAGCTAGGCCACCCTGGCGAGATTATCCGAGATATCGGATCGTCACGTTCGATCCGAAGCCCGTTGTTTGCGACCGGTTGTCGAAGATGAATGAGCGATGATCGGCGAAAACGGAATAAAATGTGCATGCCTCGCGAATGTGCTTCGAAGGGAGAGAGCTCGCTTACACGTGCCATGCTGTGAGAAATGGCGGAGCAAGACGCGAAGGGAAATGTGGTCGCGAGGCTCGTCGATCCGAATGCAACAAATCGCGCGCGTAATGCACGTTATGCACGATATGCAGCGATACGCGACGAGACGCCTCTATGTTCCGCGTGCGCGGACATATATTACATATACATAATATTACATAGGTATATTATATATATTTAATATAGTATCACATCATAATACTAAATTATTGTTATAATATAGTATTAGACATAAATTGCTATCTCGGAGACGTCCACCTCTCGCCTCCACCTCCGTACTCGCCTTGTCGAGCTCGCCTCACCGACTTGTGCGATCGACTGCTTTGTTTCCAGCCGATATCGGCGCTCTGTCAAATATCGTCTTCCAACCCGAGATCTGCCGCCTTTCACCAATCGCCACGAAAGCAGTAGGCAAATAAGTCTCGTCAAGTAGCGAATCATCTAATTTACGAATTTTTCTCCGCCGAAGGCGGAACCGACTTGTGGCACTTGCGGCCGCTACTTTCCTACTTCCTACTTCCGATATCGATCTCGCATCCAGAACCGTTCGCTCGGCCGTCCTTCGCCTCTTACTCAGGGGAGTTACGCGCCTCCCACGTGTACACAAAAACATCGTCGCTTATACATCACTTTCCAATGTCGAATCATTTATAAGCTAGTGACGCGGTGAAATCGGTAAACTCTTACAAATATATTCTCGTGCATTCCCCTTCCCCCAACCTCGCGCTTTAAAAACAACACTTTGTTAGTCGCAGCATTTCGCGCGCATGATATCTATATCAACATTACATAATTAGATTTACGCGTGTGCTTACTCCCTCACCCCCTCCTTCATCGAATCCATTATCCGAATAGTACGCAGCGCGCATCCCGTGAGACGTCCCACCAATGTCTTGCCAATAAACTCCTTGATGGATGACTAGAGCCGAGAGACGACGATCACACTTCTTTGAACGATCGAACGTTCGCTTTACTTCGATCCGTTGCGGTCGATCTCTCACTGATTTCGAGTTCGCGCGGAGCTGGCCCGGAGGCGAAATCAAGCGACGGGTGAATTCTCGGCTGTCGGATAAGATAAGAAACTTCTTCTGAAGAGCAACGATTGCGTCAATCCTCGATTTCGTCTCTTATCAGCTCCGCGTGCTCGCGGCGCTACGATTACGATTACGATGATAAGTCGCGCGCGAGTCCGATTCGACCAATATCGTTGAAAATCGATATCTTCTCTTCCTGTCGCGCGAATGATTCACGGATGATTAGCCGAATTTCCGTTAATATGATTAATTCCTTTCGATTCCCCGCATTAGCTAAACACTATTAAAATAGTTTTTATTTTACTATATCGGAATTAAAATAAAAACTATTAAAATAGTTTACATTTTACACTTATATATTATAAAATAGTATAGAATTAGTGGTAGCCACTTGAAATTGCTGGTCCTTGTGCCAACGGTAGGAAAAGAAAAAGATGCTGGTCGAATCCTCGTATCGCGCGACAACGATCACGGTATCAGCTTCGTGTTTTATCATTCTTTCTCTCTCTCTCTTTCTCTCCCTCTCGATAGAAAGCGCAACTTAACGACTCTGTTCGATGCCCTAAATTAGACTAAAAGTTAAGTCATTGCGCATTGGCACGCGCTATTTGGTACGTTTCATTTGAGACTTTTTACATATTTCTTTTTGGTATAAATACTTTATCTCTAAAATCGCGATTAGCTCATCCATCCCCCCCCCCCCCCCCTCTTCCCCTGCTGGTGACGCCTCCTCGATGCCTCGACTATTCGTAATTAAATGGGCGCTCAGAAGCGTCAACCGTCGACACTCACGTTCATCCGATACGTGAAAAAAAAGATTCAGGACTAAAGTGATTCGAAATTATCGATGAATAGCATCGCTGCCACTCGATGCTCGCTTCTATAAAGAGTGTCTTTACTTCGCGCCGGTACAAATTGTGACGATACATGGTCCACCAACAGTACAAAATACCCGATACTTCCTCTTCAAATATCGGACGAGTACGAGTATCGATGCCCGATATTTTCCCTTGAAAAACGCTTGAAAAACGCCCACTCGTCCTCGATATACCGCGTAAGAGTCACTTTCGCGCTTCCCGTCCGCTCTTTCGTCGGGGCGATTTTGTTGCCTTCCGGGAACGTGAGCACCCTCGCGCCGATCTCGAGCAGAGTTTGACGATAAAAACGGAATCGCGATCTCAATTGCGGTGCGATCGCGAAAAGAAACGAAATGACCGACTCACCGGAAGGACGAAACGCGCCGCGGATTAAGTCGCGAGGATTATCCTAAACAGATAGGGACTTCAGAGACGAAGAGGAACGCGTCGTGTGATTCGTCGACGAGGCTAGACGTGCAGAGAAGAACAGCCTTGTAGAAGTCGAAGGGATCGCGAGCCGGACAGCTGCAGATTCTTCTTTCGAGAATTAATTCCAAAACTCCCATTATTCTGATTTCAATTGATTCGTCGCATTTAATTGCTCCTTCAAGATGCGTACCGATCCGACTTACGCGTCTATTCTTCTGTAAACGTTCATGTCCGTCGGTTTTTTTTGTTTTTTTTGTTTTTTTTCGCGAAAGCAATCGTATCGCCTCTCGTTCGAACGGTGCGGCGTGACGATGCGTCACCGGCCGTTTCTCTTGTCCGTATCTCCCCCACATAGTCCCGATGTGTAATAAAATATAACTTATGCGAGATAGCCGAGTACACAGTACGATTGTGCGCAACGAGATTTACGCCTGTCCCGCGGAACGCGTTACACACTGGTGCTGGTGAACGCGCCTAAATATGAGGTCCCATATGTGCATGCTCTCATAGTACATTTTATCCACCCGCCCTCCTTCCCCCACTCTGTATTGAACTTAACCACCGGTATTGTCGATACACCCCGTAGAAAACAGAAACGAAAGGAAAGAAAACGAAGCGCTTAGAAAAATATACTCTCAGGGTTCCCGCGGATCGCTATAGCGCTTGCGCAAATACGCGGGATTGCCAATAAATTATCTGTATGCATCTCGGTAATTTCTTTTTTCATGATCGGAGACGACATCATGTATAGAGCGCCCACATGAAATCCTCATCGCATCTCGAGTCGGCAACACCGTCATCATTTATCGACATAATTATTTTGCTAAGAAGTTTAAAATGCAGAATTTCTCCTGTATTATTTTTTACACCTGCATTTTTTATAAGTGAGAATTCTTTCGTTTCCCTGATGTTCCGTGGGAAAATTTTGCGAAGCGAAATTGACGATTCAAAGTCACGATTTCAGATCGACGCTCTGTACGTGTTCTAAATTCGCGCGCACGATAAACGTATATTGTACATGACATTCAATGACGATCGTTAACGAAGGAATGAATCTCTCCAGCGGTGAAACCATTATGCGTGTATATGTGCGTACTGTTCGACATCTGTGGCTATGACGTTCCTGTGCCTGAGGAGTATCCCGTGTGCGTGATCGTTATATTAATCGTGGTGATAATTATGCGGTACAGAGATGACGGAAAATGAGAAAAGGAAAAATAGGATCTAACGTTACGTCAATAAATAATTGATCGAGCTTGGAGACTTCGCGGTATCGATACGTTACTCTCCTACGTTACAAAATTCGTCGCGTAGCTCTCTGCAGCTACGGCTCTCTACTTATCAAAGTGCAAATCCCGGGGATACACTCACGGCGCTCTCGGGAGCGGTACGTCCGATCGCGCGCGGATGTGTCGACGAAAGGAGAGACGTAAGAGAATATATGAGCGTGGTGAGCGTATGCATGTGTGTATATATAAACGGAACTCCGAGTGCGCTTAGTAAAATCTCTGTGTGCGAAAATTGTGGAAAAATTGTGGTTTCGACTCGTGTGTGCGTGGCGCGCACGCATGACTCTCACTCTTTACGCAGAAGAGCGTCATGGAATGCTCGAGCGTTTCTCGCGAAACGAGAACGAAGCCGAAGATCACGGTACAAAAATGCCTCAACGGTCTCTCGTGTCGACGGGAGGATACGGCGACGTTATTTCGAGCGAAATCGCGGAGCGTTGGATCCGTCTCACTTTAGCACAGGACCCACGCTTTTTTTTCTTTTTTTCTTTTTTTTTTCGTGAAGGCGCAAGCGCGCAAATAAGATTCCCTTCCCTAATGCGTATACTAAGATCGTGAAATTTGCCGGTGAATCCGCCGCCGATCGCCTTCGGTCTCGTTTCCTGCAAAACGACACCTCGCCCCGTCCGAGAGTCGGAGCCAACGACGGTGGCTCGCCGTCTCGTTCTTAGAACACGCGTGATCGATCGTTCTTCCTCGTGCCGTTTCTCCGACCGACATCACGAACGACTAACGACACCGGCTTCTCAGATTCGTTAGTGCAAAGACAGGACAAACTTAAACGTTCCGCCACGTTCTGCTTAGCGTTGATAACGTAAGGGGTCGTCTTTCTCCATCTGTACCTTTCTCTCTCTTTCTCTCTCTCTCTCCACTCTCTTTCTCGTGCCGAAATGGTACCGAAACGAGGCTCGAACACGCTGAAGAATGTCGTCCGGCCAGCCGTGTCGTGGTAACGATTTCCTCCTCCGTTTGCGCTTAACGTAGAATACAGAATTAGCCTAGTAGAGACCGCAGCCGCGCAGATTATTGGCAATAATGACGTCTGTGACTGCGTCGAACACAAATTGAATGTTGTTCGTGTCGGTGGCACAGGTCATGTGGCAGTAGATCTCCTTCGTGGTCGACTTGTTCTTCGCTTCGAATTGCGCCTGAATGTATGCAGCCGCTTCGCCGTACTCCTGCGCACCTGCGACAAGCATTAAACACTCATTAGGCGGCGTGAAGCGAGATAGATGAAAGCAACGGTACAGATTTACCGACAAAACTTACCAGCGTATTCGGGGAAACAGATTGTGAGAGGAGACTTGCGGATTTTCTCCTCGAACAGATCCTTCTTGTTCAGGAAGAGGATAATCGAGGTGTCGGTAAACCATTTGTTGTTGCAAATCGAGTCGAATAACTTTAAGCTCTCCTGCATTCGGTTCTGTAAAATATCGAAAAAAATCACATCGATGCAAACTTTACATAAGGATGTGTTTGCGATTATTTTTACAGAATATTTGTTTTCTTTCTTTTTATGACAGGTGTAATCGACTAATTGCAAAGGGATAGACAGATCTTTAAAAAATCCATTTAAACGACGTTAATATATCCAAATGAACTATTTTTTTCAAGATTTCCTTTAAACTCGATATTATGTGCAATTTTCATTAATGGTTAACGTGGTTTAATTCATATGGATTGGCGATACAGGTCACTAGACGAGACAGTAACGGCAATTAACATCGGTATATAGAATGACAACGCGCGCGTGTCACAGCACACGCGAGCGAAGAGTTCAACGGAACCTTCCCACGTGTAGCGACCTCGGCAATTGATCCCTTGATTCCTCGGAGCTTCAGTTACTTTCCCTCGCACTCTTAATTCGGACGTGATATTTTTCTGACGGATCTTAACGACGTACATTCATCTCCCGTATCAGCTGTGTCTTAACTCAGATTATCTCACGTTCTTGATATAACCGTGTAATTTGCAATTCATTACAGCGAAGAGAGTCTTTTGATATAAAATATAAGAACGAGTAAAATTAATAATTTATTTGCAATAATATATTGCTCTTAAAATTATAAAAAAGAATTCGCGTTACACGTAATGTTCAGAGTCGAGATGAACGTATTGAAAGAAGCGGATTAGCAACTCTACTTACCGTCGTTTCGTCCTCGTGCAAAACCTGATCGTATTCTGACATTGCCACACAAAAGATAATTGCAGTCACGTCTTCAAAGCAGTGTATCCATTTCTTACGCTCGCTTCTCTGACCACCCACGTCGAATAATCTAAAAAAAAAACGAAGATAAAAAAGTCAACTTTATTTTTATTCTAGTGGACAATTTAAATTTATTTTCTACAGTTTTATTTTCCAAATCGTTATTCTACTTTTTCATCATTTTGTTAATACATAAAGACATTAGAAATTAATTTTATTTAATTAATAAGCACAATATTAAAGCATCAACATTGGTATTCAAAACGTGTCGTACTTTGGCATGCGCGACGTCACGTCTAATTAGCTCTTAATCGGTGCTCAATATTCCTGATAGATTAAGCAGCTGATTTAATAGAGATATAATTATCTCGTCACGTGTTTCAATTACTAATGACATTAATTTCGATTTTTCCGACAAATAGAAAGAGGTTTCGGCTGGGTACGGCTCATCGCTCGGCTTCGTTCCAAGCAAACGCTCGAATTATCACGGTAATGACTCACGCGTCGACCATTCATAACAAGGTGGCCGCCTCACATCTCCGCACTCGCTCGCGAGATTACAGAAATGAGTTGGCATAATGAAGCAAGAACGAACGATTGATATCGTTCGTTATTACGCCGCCGCGCGCGAAACGATTCTAAATTAAGAGCAATTCTAAATTAAAGCCGCAAATTTATTTTAATTTATTGTTTTATTTCTAATTCAGTCGAAATTAATTTTTATATTTAATCACAAATCTTCAGCTTACTTGAAGTTGAGGTTTTTGAAAGAAAAGTGGACCTCCACGATTCCCGTCGTTTTTACTCGGGTCCTGAGAATATCCTGTTCCGTTGGCTGGTATTCCCTCGCTCCTAATCGATCCAAGTCGTCCAGGAAGCTGTAAAAAACGACGGATTTTCGTAAATACATGATTAATATAATATAAAATACAATTCTGTTATACATTAATTCTTATTGCACATTTTAACATTCAAAGTATTTTAATACAATCAATATCGATAAACTAATTATCTTGGACATTCTGTTCTCACACCTGTCAACACCTGTTCTCCACTGTTTGATGCAATGAAATAGTAATTAAGTCTGATTTATTCATTTTTAATTAAATCGGATTCTTTCGTATTTCTTTGTTCGAGTATTGCTATCTTCGCTCAATTTTTTGCTAAATTGCGAAGACAATAAATCTTTGGCCAAGCGATTAATTGGCAATAAATTAGCATCTACTTAAGCAATAAATCTAGATTCGATTTCGAGTGACAGGGGCGTTAGCTTAACAGAGGTAGGAGCTAGGGCGCGGCTCGCAACAAGTAGGTAGAAGCCACGAATGTAATAAAAAAATAATGAATATGAAAAAATGCTAAATATAATAATAGTTACTGTAATCGGGTTTGCGTAAACTATCGTGCAAACTGACCGCCACGAGGAAACGCTTCTACCGGTGCAAATGCTTTAGAAGTTTCTTGTCCAATTATCCGTGAAACCAATTGACGATGTTTAAAAATTAACGCCGAAGATAACGCTAGAGAATCAAGTCCTTAATTATTTTTTTCTATCATTAGTACACAGTATTTATACTTGCCAAATTATGTGGCAATGTATAAATACGCAAAAGAATAATAAAAAGAAAATTTTTTCAATTCTGAAATAATTTAATTGCAATTTATATTGTTAAATAACGTTGCTTTATAACGGCTTAATAATTTGATTTTTCGATATTGAGTATAAAATGTTAAAGTTAAATATTTAGTAATGAGGGGTGAGTGCGTTTGAGTCCAGGGGATCGCATGATGAATATTGAATGATGAAAATATTGAGTATTAAAAATAAATATATTAATTATTAAGTCAGGCAGGAATGATATTATCTTATAAAATAACTGCTAAAAAATTTAAACGTTTTATTGTATCAAAATCGGCGACTACATTTCATACAATTTTCAAGAAGTAAGAGAGAAACTAAGAGGTTCTATAGGAAGATCCAAGTAGCGCCATCTTTGTAGGACAGGGGTTAGGGTTTAGGGGTTGCAAGGTGAAAAACGTCGTGGTTACTTCTGACTTCTGTAGTAATAAAAAAAAAGAACAAGATGAAAAGAGGTATAATCAGATGCTGAAAAGCGAACAGATAAATGAATATCTGACAAGGAGAAGAGAAAGAAGAAAAAAAAATCTAAGAAGCAAGAGAACATGAGAAAATTGGAAAAGATACGATGCAATGAAAGAGTCCAAGACCTGAAAAAGCGAGAGAGAGGGAGAGAGAGTGTGCGCAGGAAATGAAAGGAAAGATCGAATCACGGAGAATTGGGCCGCCATGAAGGATCTGGCGATTCAGGACACGCCAAACTCGAGACGGGCGAGCGAGTCCTGATAATACCTCCCTGGAGAGGGAAGGAGCTTAGATTTTTCCGGCAGGAGGATGGAGGTGGAAAAAGAAGGGCGAATAAATCGTGGAGAAAATAGGAGAGAAGGTGTACGCCGGAACCCCCGGTCGGCCATCTTGGCTGCATGCCACGTGACACGGGCGTGGCGTGACGTCATCAGCGATCAATAATGACGAGGAGCGAGGGAGAGGGAGAGAACCCCGAAGAAAACGGTGGAGAGAAAGAAAGAGAGAATTGGCGCGCATTTCTCGTACTATTTCGACCATCGATGCCCACCACCACTACTGTATCATCCCTCCGTTTTCCTCCTCCCTCGCCACCTTTCTCGACCTCGTCTTCCGCCAAACCTGTCGCATCTCCCTTCCGGCGCCCACCCCTCGCGACTTCATCCTCGGGAAATTCGCGTTAGCCCTCTTCCGGTCTGCTCGCGAGATGAAGTCTCTCGGCAGTTCTCGACTGCTACTTTGCTCTACGTACGAAGCTCTCGGGACTGTTCGTGCACGAGAATCGTTTCTTCCCTTCAAAATTTGATTTTTCGGTATACAAAAAACCTACAACCTCAATTTTCACGACACTTTCTTCGATTGTAAAGGACAATGGATTTTCTTCAAACTTCAGAATTTAAGAGAAATAGTTCGGAAATCTCTTCTCAGGAACTTAGGAACTTAGAAACTTTTTAGAATTTGTTACAATTTTATATCAATGTGCATTTTATATATTTTTTTTTGTTTTTAACGTGAAACATTTACAATCGGCAGAAACAAAAAAATATTTCTTTTAATCATTACTTTAAAATTTATCAAATGACATAATACAGACTTCCAAAAAGTATAGTATGAACTACTCTTTTAAGAATAGAAACTATGAAATGCAAAATAGTGTAGTTTGTTTACGTTTAAATTTGTTCTATTAATACCAACGAGGTCATTATTGTTTTATACACAGATATCATGGGCAGTATATTTAGGCATATGATGTGCTGTCATAAAACCTGAATGAGACGCAAACACACAGTGGCACAAATAACCAACATGATTATCGCAAAATAGGCGTAATTTTTATTATTATTTTTTTTACTATGTTTCGCGACTTCTGTCGTAACCAATATCGTCGCCTTTTATCGAAAGGCACACCGACACAGGATTATTACAGGAGACGGGAGACATGGCAGGGTCTCCGGTGAATGATATATTAAGCGATGGCTGGGACGTACTTGCGTGTGCAATAAGCGTACTGTATACGATAGCGGCGGTATCGTGCAACCCGGTGCGAAACCGCAGTGCGGTTTATTAAAGCTAAGAACGGCACCAGAAACGGCGTAAGTCCGTGACGCTGGAAAAAAAGCCGCGCTTTCATAGGTCCCTCGCTATTGCGTGCAGACGGCAAACACGTACGTTATGCGCCAATTGGACCTGTCGCTATATCAGTGGCTGGACCTCGCAACAGTAACCGCACGACAGTAACATGGCATATATACCGACGAAATTGCGCGCTCGCAACGATTTAATCTTTTCCGAGCTTGTTTATACAACGCTTTGATTTCTTCTAATCTTCACAGAATAAATTCCAGAGAAGAAGATAAAGTTTGTGATTTTAGGAACTTATCTCATGTACTCTTTATTGTGCGAAAATTACGCGAATTATATTTTAATCTACTCGGAACTATTATAAATAATAAGCGAGTTCGCGAAAATAATCACTCGCGAATGTCAGAAAGCACAATGTTGCAATCGATTCGCCGAATATCGTCATTTCTACTTTATCAAAGTAGATGGATCTGCGATCATTATTATACGCACTCACGCGATCCCATAATAAAAAAAAAAAAGTATGCTTAGAGAAGATAACTGATGAAAGTATTGGAAAACGGTACTACCCCGAGATACAAGCGCTAGTACAAAATCAATATTCCAGCGAAGGGGCAGCGCGGAAATATGCCTGCGAAACGCACCGAGAGGAAGGGAAGAGACGACAAGTCTCGCGTTCAGGATGAGGTTTTGCTCCTGCCTACCTCCGTCCTTTCGGGCACGCGAATTCTCAAGAGTGAAATTCGAGTCTCAAATATCTTTCCCGTGTGACGCGTGATGGAGCCTGCGGCGACTAGACCCGGTGCAAAATTTATCAGCCTCAAAATTAGTTTTGCATGTTAACGTAAAATCCTCGATTTTCCTTGAAACAATTCCCGATTCAAATAAATTTCCAATCGTCTTTTTGTATTAAAACTTCATTCTGGATTGGCAATTATCTGGCAAAATTAAACAATCCATTCTTCTGTAAGTCTATTATTGATTTCACAGCTGAATGAATCATTGTACACGTCGAGAATAGAACCATTAATTCTTTTCGGGTTGTTGCGATGTCGAAAAACTTTGAGATTTATATCCTTCGAAGAGGTAATTGTTTTTTTTTTTTTTTGTCACTTACTATTTCGCGGAGTCGTTCAACTGATACTCGTTGCTCCTGCCGAAGCACTCCTGTACTCCATTGTCAGACCACAGCCTCTTCATAGCCGCCAGTAATTCTTCGCTAAAGGGTTCCGTATCTTCCATTCTTTGAATTACGTCAAATACCATTTTTGCGTCCGTCTGCAAACAAAGAAAAGGACTGAAATATTCTAATCGTGACGTTACATTTCGAATCATTTACCATATTTCCAGATATATTTACGCTGCTGATAATGGATTTTGTGATATTAAATAATTTAATATTGCCGTATTAGCTGTTTACATTCAAATTTTTCAATTTTTAATTATTTAGGGATAATTTCTTCGTCGAATCATGTTCCCGTAAAATAATATGCGTAGCTGTCACGTTAAATTTAATGTCTGGCGTAAATTCGATATTTCACAGTTAACACTCTAATTGTAAACCATATTTTAATTCATTAATTTTACACATCCATGAAAATCCTTTTTGCATCATCAACTGTACAATTATATAATTTATAGTATATAGAAAGCATACAACGACACATCCACGCATACATATAAAAATTTATTAAAAAGAAATATCAAATAATTATTTATGCCATCTTGGAGCGAGCATCCTGCAAGATCGTCTTACACGATCGCCTCAGATGGTTAATCAACCAGTCAACGCGTCGTGATTCGCTGTTGAATGCTTCATTCATTAGATAACCGTCGGTATGCAGTAAAGTACATTCTGGATACCATGTCATGTCTCACGTTAAAGTAGTCGATACACGATATTTAAATAACATGCGAGATATATGCGACTGATATGTCACTGAATTGTTTTCATAATTTTGCAATTGATATTTCATTGAAATGAGTGACATATGCGTGAACATACTTTACATGCGATTAAACAATATAAAGCTGTCGCCTGTGTGTTGATAAATTATGATAATAATTAATCGGAAATTGAAAAGAAATTATTAATAATTTTTATGTATATACCTTTTTTCCCAATTAAAGTAAAAAAATTCGTGAAATTTGAGAAGATTTAAATTAATTCTTTCTTTCATGCTAATGATATCGTTGTAATCAAAGCATAAAGCAAGCAAATTTGCTTGATTTGCATATGTATTAGTCGCGATTAAAACTTGGTAAAACGCGATTCTGTAAACTAACTCTAAAGTTACTCTGAAATTATTCTGAAATCCCGACGCACGGCAACACGCGTATTATAATTTCAAATTTGTAGCCCGACCTTTTCCTGATAAGAAATTCCGATTTTCTGAAACGCCGAGAATACGCAGAAATGTACATTACCTCTCGCTCGTTGGTTGAAAAACTGATGCCCAGATTAGGCATTGCTCTGAGAATAGCGACTAGAGATTGTATCGTGTTACTGTATACGACGGGTCTGTACTGCTTGAAGTCTTCCGGCGTGAAGCCGCTCTCGTGGATAATTCTGAAAACAGAATCGGACAAGTGTTAGAACGTACGCGTAGAACATCAAAGGCAAGAGATCTTTTTTTTCCTGTAAATATTAGGATAGAGCTGTGGATGGTTTAAGATGTGGTGTTTACTCGAAAAATATAAAATCACACTTGAAACAGAAACAATTTCCTGAACAAAAAAATAAGATATGTATCGAGAGAGTGGTATCGATACTTACATTATTATATATTGAACGAGCAGATATATAGATATTCAATTTAAATATCCCTTACTCTCTCGCAAGGAGTTTGCGGTTCACTATAATATACGCGTGTCACGTACACGACGGCTCGAATTAATGTACACCGCGTAGTGTAAACGCATATATGAATTGCAATGTGCGCTACATGTACTCCGTGACTTACATGAGTGCCCGTACATATCCTAACAATGTTCAGAGTCAACATAGGTGAGTTATAGAACTGGCAGTTCTATACATACAAGTGAAAACACAAAGTAATATTGCACGGCATAGATTTATGTCAGTCATATCTAGGGTCAAGTCTTTTTCTAAATATATATAATTTTTGTATGTGCTCCTAATATAAATTTGCCTTCGTCTGATTCTTCAGAGATTGTTGAATAGAGTTAACTCGAAATTAACTAATCAGCATATCGTTTCGTTATACTTTTCGTTATATTTTTCTTACTGTTAGGAATTTTAATAATTTTTCTTTTATCAATTCTATATCACGTGCCTTCAACTTCCATTTTTTGACGCACAGAAAAATAAAAGCATATTCGGCATGCCTTAATTAGTAAGTATTAATTATAATTTGTATGATGCCCATCGTTTTATCAAAGCAACCATCAAATGTTACAACATTTCATGGTACATTAATTCCAACAAAGGATATTATATCGCCCATTACGTTAATAAATGACACAGAAAACATGTAGCGGCGTCCACTGTTTCGAGAGTAACGATATTAACGACGGCATAAAGAGCACACTATGTACGCACGCATACATCGCCGGATTTATGAGTACTTGCACGCGAAGGAAAACCGGCTGTATGAGAGTGTGCGTAAAATCATACACTTTGCTCGTACTTCAGTCTCAGATACCTATTGTTTGCTGCATTATTCACATCCACATAAATTATGCAGCCGAGATGTAGAGAAGACGCATGTTACGCACGGGCCTTTATTTTTTGCTCCCGATAATAATGAGTATTGTATCGATTTCTTAATAATTTAATATACAATAACTCAACACGCACCGATTATTTTTCATTTTTTTTGCGACATAAATAATACTAATTATGTAAAAATATAAGAATTTTCCGAAATTATCGTCCGTAAAAAATTTCCAATGCCTTTTATCCGATATTGTTCATCGGGTATCGGGATCTAATAGTTAATTACGAGGTTAATATCGACGATAAAATATCGATACGCAAATATGCAGGATCAAAATAAAAATATCGGTATTTTGATGCTATCTAAACACGGTGAGCATTCCTGTTTGCAGTCGACAGCTTTCCTTCCGTCGAGAGAACGGAACGCACAGCGGTAACTTTGTTCACGGGACCCCTTGAACAGGGCCCATTCATAGCGTAGGATACAGGAAGAGAGAGACTCGCCCCACAGAGAGAATATGTTAATCCATATAAGGGGGACAGAGAGAGAGGCAAAGAGAGAGAAAACAGTACTAACATCTCGGACGAGCGCGCGTATCACGGAACAGCTGCTGCTCTCGGATACATGCAAGCGTATCGTTACATTGCGAGTATCGATCTCTCTAGCGTGGCGAGGCAACAGTTTGCCTCGAAATAATGCCGATGCACGGGCGCGAAAAGATTAATCTATTTGCATGTGCGAAATGGACACGCGCCATTATCCGATTTTCTACTTGCTTCGCGGCGCAGCAACAATAATTCACGATATAATTTTGCAACTGCTCAAACTAAAGCGAATTTATGTCTAATAAGCTCTTTCGGGCATAAATTCGCTGTAGTTTGTGCAGATGCAAAATTTTGACGTGAGTTATTGTTGTCACGCCGCGAAAGTAAGCATAATAGCGGATAATGGCGTGTCCATCATAGCGCGTGCGAATAAATTAATCTTTTCGTGTCTGTGCATCGACATTATTTCGAAACAAACTGTTGCCTCGTCTCGGCGAGATCGATACTCGCACTGTAACGATACATTTGCATGTCTCCGAGCGTAAATTTGAAGTAAGATTCATTTAAAAGATTATATTCCGACAACATTTGTATTGAATATAATGAGTGTACTGAATGAGCATGAACAGGTCGAACTTACATGTGATGAAACAAATTTTAATACAAACTTTTTCTTTTTTCATAAACTTCAATAATATACAAATTGAGTGAAAAATCTTTACAGTGTGTCTCAAACAATTGAACTTCCAAGCGAATAAGCATACATTATGATTCAAACCATTTAACTTCCAGCAAGCAAACCGAAATGTATCTAATTAAAGATCTGACTCACGTCCAACCAGTCATTAACTCATATCGTACATATTTCATTTCATTCTCAAACAGAATAAGAAAAATCCATCTGCGATTCATTAAATTGATTAATCATAAATTTAGTAAAATTGTTAAATTACTATCGACAAAATAAATTTAAGAAGAGATAAATATATATATTTTACATATTTTTAGACAAGAGGATATATTCTTATAAGTTGAAAAAAAATTATTATTTACATAAAACTTGAGGATGTATTTTGATTCTATGTAAAAACATAAGATAATATTATAACCTATACGATAACTTTATAAGATTATTGAGTATTGAGATAATCGCTGAACTCAAAATGCAATAATATAATAGAAAATCAGGAGAGAAGCGTGGGAAAGAACTTCTTATGATTAACTAGCAGCTGACCGATGAGCGTGCACAAATTAGCATTTCCGCGACGTCGCGAAACATCAAAGAATACAAGTCTTGCGAACACGGCATTGTACTATTGTAAGCACAGCCCATTCTTGTCGCATTCTTGTCGCGTCGTCTCATTTTCCTGCGGAAGAGCCATTAAATTTTCGGTTGAGAGGCCCGTAACGCGAAACTCGCCTAATTACGTACGTACACGCGAGCCGGAATGAGTCGTCCTCGCCGCTACACAATGAACTGTAGATAATTCCGAATAAGTTCCGATGCCACTCGTTCGTAATTTTATTAACATTCACGAATCATCATACTTTTATTTTATCGCAAATTCTAGAACTTTATTTTTTCGCAATTATAAAATTATCAAAAAATTTGGTATAAAAACTGGCAAACGTAAATTAAAAACTGTTGCATAATTAACTCGGGCTTAATTAATTTATCGGGAACAGTCGATGTGCGTTAAGGAACAAACAACGCACACGGATGTAATCTCGCTTCAATAATAGAATCCCCCCTTTTATAAACGATAATTAGTGCATGTAGTGCGAAGCGCGCTAAGGCGATTATACTTACTTCATTTGTTTCACGATAGTGCTCTTGCCGGATTCGCCCGCTCCTGAAAAACAAAAGGAAAAACATTGAGTGAGAACAATCAATCTTGCGATTGCATATCTCCAAATTACAATGTGAATGCGAAATGAACTTTGCGCGATGGACAAAGGGAAGATAATCTTCTTGTTCTCTATTCAATTTCAAACAATTTTGTATTTTAATAGACTGACGATTTAGGAATTATTTGCAGAAATATTTTATAAAAATTGAAAAGTCGATACATAAATTTTATTTCTTTAATTTATCAATCAATCTTTGCGTCATTCAAATTTGATGTTATAACAGTGGATAATTTGTATATAATTTTTTTTTTAATTCTGTCGTATAAAAAAGGAGAAAAGAGCAAGAGCAGATAATAAAATCTTAATTTGTTATCAACAGTTGGAAAAAAGACGATTCTCGTGACGCAAAAATCGGATCGATGGGCGCGTTAGAGCGAAACGAGTCGTGAGTTATCGCATAATATGCTGCTCTATATAACCGGATACGTCGACGGAACTCGCTTTTCCTGCTTACCGCAAACCTCCCCCTCCCCCGTCCTTCTTTTAAAAGCAAGTAGCTTTCGGTACAAGTAGCCGTCTATAATAGCTACTTACGGCTAGAGTCGTTTAGTATCGACTAGATATACGTGGGATCTCAAGTGAGCGCCCTATAGACGGCAACTAGAAAGAAAGGAGTTCATCTCTCGAGACACCACGATGATCCTCATCGCGCCCTCGTCGAGGTAAAACACGAAATAGAGCTAAACGAGTCGCAGATTCGTCTCGAGCTCACCGAAATCATCGAAGAAAATTCCATAATCATTTATTATTGTGGCGTAATTTTTTCTAATTTCCCTCGAACGCTGTTTTATCGAAGCGAAACAAATTTTGTTTTAGGATAAGAGAATATTACAGAGAAACTATTTTGCTCAAAATATTTAATAAAATATCCTTTTCGAATATTTTTGGTAAAATAAAGCAGGTTTCGATAAAATAGGACAAAATAGATTCACACAAATTCTGTTAACTCTAAATGAACCGTGCCGCGGACTTCGGTATAACTCTTGTTAAACTCCATCTGTAACTCTATTAATTCTAGTTAAACTCCACCAAACCCGCTGTGTGCTATAAGTGCTACATCATATACTTCCGGGAGAGCTCATTATTAATACGATGGTTTATTATACCGTTTTAATATGACTTACAGCCATACTGCGTTTACTGTAGCATTATGGTAAATTTTAGAAATTGTCGGTCGCAACGTTTACCAAGCCGTTCCGTCAATATATACTATAGACAATTGCGTTTGTCTTTAATTCCGAGCCAGGAATACAAGTCAATATACAGTGCGTGCATTATACACTATGTTATTTCCTGCAGCTGTCTCGTTCGTATTTTCCATTCACCTGCTCTATTCGCGAAAAGTTTCATAGTTTTTGAGGACGCTTTTATCCGTCACACGCGCGATAAACGCGGAATAGAGATAATTTCGATAAATTCGAGTAGGAAACTGTTTGCACTTCACTCACGCTATATCTAGCGCGAAGCCGGGCGTGCGCGAGAAAATTCATGAAAGTTTAATATAAATCAGTTCACATTTATGTTGAATTAAATAAAATAAATAATATTAAAAATTTTTGTTATTTGTTGAATAAACGTAACATACTTTTTCTACTGCGCTTAATACATAAAAATATTATTTCACGTTATTTACTAATATAAATTTTTCACATGGAACACACTGTGAAAGAATTTCTTTCAATGAATTTTCATATGCCGGAAAACAACCTGAGTGTTATTTTTATGCACCAGCGACTGTGATATCGATTATAATGTAATTAAATATTGAATGCAACGTTTAATTCACGGAAAAACACTTCACTCTTATTATGATGTACGGGTTTGTTGTATAAATCATATTTTATTTCGCTGCCCTTCTAACATTTCGGTCTGTTTTGCGCGAGCAAATATACCGCGCCCTTTGCCATTTGCTTCACTTTACATCGGTACACGCATTCGCGACAGTATGCAATCGACGCTGTTCTTAAATGTATAGATACATTTAACTACGCTCGTAGAACTTTATAAAAGTTTTAGCAATAAATATTGTCGTATATAAAATTTCAGTTCTCTCATAGTATGAATATGGTAATATCATGAATAGAGTAAAGTAATAAAAAAAAGATAAAGAACAGATATTTTGCAATTTTATATTCTTTATAAAAATCTGCAAATTTGTATAATTAAGAGTTAATCATATTGTGTTGAAATCTTACAATCAACTTCTGTCAATTCATGACAATGTCGAAATAAGGGTCTACATAAATTTTCTCACTTGTGCTTAACGCATGCGGATACAAAAATTTGACAATAAAAAGTACTACAACAGTAGAAACGTAAAATGTTAGGGAAAAAAATAATTTTTTGTAATTTAAAAGCGAGATAGACGAATCGACTTTTTTTTATTCGCATTTTCAATGCTCTGCACCGACCGTCGCAACACGTCGCGACAAAGAAAGCGTCTGTTATTTAACGCCATAGAGTGGACCTTTGCATCGCCTTGAATTACACCACGACGTTGCGTTCGTATTTCGTTGCCGAGGCACCATTAATCGGATGAAAATACTCGCAGCCAATTTGCGCACGTACATACGCACGCACGTTCCACCGGCGATCTGACGTCACTGGTTACACCAATAAACAGGACCCACATTTCGCTGGAAAACGTATCTTCCACGATACGGCGTTCCGAGCTAACGCGGATTTGCGACTTTGAGATGCACGGTATGTCTTTTCCGGAAGGCAAACACGCTTGAAGAACTTCCAGCGCCAAATATTTTCATCGTACAATTATAAATAAGGAATCCTTATTTTTTGGTTAAAACCGAAACTTCATGCAGAATTCTGTTTTTACCATAAATATTAATCCGTATCGTAATTACTGGCGTAATATTTGATGTAATAAACATGCAGCACACACGAAATTTGTTTCACGAAAAAAAAGTTAAAATTAAGATGAATTAAGATGGTTTTTGAGACACCAAGTATATCTCGTTGCGGAACGGAGAACGAGAAAAGGCGAGAAAGTAAATTGAAAACGTGCGAAGCAATTAGTACGCGGACAGATCAGCGGGGACAATACGCCGGTGCATTTTATGCCGCCCCCGCACTGATTTTGCTTTTAATTATAGCGCAAGGCTAACGAAGAATTTTTCATTAAGACTTGGATCAAATTAGAAGCGCATAATTAGCGCAATATCTATAAAATGTAATTAATATTTGACGGACGCAACTATATCTGCAATAAAAATTATTCTCGTTAATTTGCTGTACGTCGATGTACTGTGACGTCGATGTGAAAATAACGATCGCGATGAAACGGCAAATTTATCGGCGCGTAATGATTCATTCGTAAACACGCAACAATCATGAATGAATCTCAGGTTTTGTAACTCTGCCTATCTATCTGTATCTGTGTCTATATACATAATCATCGTACGTTATGCAATACTGTCTCGCAGAGACACTCACCGTACGTGATTCATCGTAAGAATTTATGTGATAATCGCTAATCTGATCGACTCGGAATATTAATCGAGCTCTTTAAAATTCAAAGAGGAATTCCATCTCTTCTTTAATTACCTGCGATAATCTTTTGACAACGAAAGCTCGCTTTTTCGGTACAATAAATTTGATCCGCGTAAATAAAAAATTAATAGCGCACATTTAAATTATGTTTGAAACGCGTCTTTGTGCCGTCAAAGCTAAATTTGAGTTAATTAGATTGATGGGACACCCGTGGAATAGCAAATGTCTGTGGAAAACGTGAGTGAATAGATCGAATGTAAAATGCGCCGAGACCGCATTCCTAATTTATACCCGTGCTTCAGCATGCCACGAGCTTGAAAAAAAATCTGAGAATAGACTTTTCCCCGTCGACTGAACATTTTACAGCTCCCATCCCCTGCAGCCTACGGGACATCGACACGTGGCGACAGTATGTGTCCCGGAAGATATCAGGTCCCCTGACATTCCCCATCGAGTACGACACACATCTCGAAAGTTAGGATCGAACGAAAAAAATAAAAACCGTATCTGATTTATTTTTCAACGGCTCTCTGTCCCCAGCGAACGCCAAAGCGGCGCCGTCCATTTTAAATTAATATATTTTCGGCGCACAAGATTTACATCATTCTATCTATCCGTGAAACTCATTTTAGTTTTTAAATCAAAAAAGTTCCTGCTCAGACATGTGGAAATGTCTGCAAACAATGAGATGCATTATCGCACGTAACGTGCCGCCACGCTGACGTCATCGATAAAACATTGACGTTAAATGATATCTGTTGTCGACGCCGGCAATTATACCGCCTCGAAGCGTACCGATTCTGGATTGAAAGAACTGACGTCGAATGAACGATCGGGCATTACCCTTCCGCAATAAGGAGGAACACGCTTGTTGCGCCGTTCTTCCGGTTTTACGTCGCGTCCAATTTCCTGCATGCCCGTCAATTTAAAAAGCCGGCTCTATCCGCGAGAATGTTTGAGCGCGTCGAAGCGAGCCGTCTTTAACATTTCGTAGAAAACAGATATACAACTCGAAAATTGTCGTGAAAAAGTCTCACAAGTCTAAAGAGTCAATGCACTTCCATTAACTTAATTCAGCACAATTACATAAGAATCGCTTTCAAAAATTAGCTTTTTTCGGTTTTGTGAAAGCGCTCGAACACGTGCAGACGTCAAGTGAATTGTCTTCAACATGAAGCACAATTCACGAAAATTGTATTATTTCTCGAATAAAAAAAGTTAATATACTTTCCTCGATTTAATTATATAATAAAGAACTAATTTTAAAAATTGATTTTTTCCACGAGGAGCGTTTGAATGCGTCGAATGAATCGTCATTTACGTTCTACGACAAATTCACATAGGAAAATTATCTTAAAGGATTCAAAGAGTTAATATACTTTCCCTAACTTAATTTGGTATAATTGTAATATAAAATTCTCAAAAATAACTCTTTTTTTTCTAAAAAAACATGACGAACCAAATTTAAGCTGACAGCGCATCAAAAGAGTAACTTGGCGATTTGGTTATTTAGAAATTTAGATAGATCGATAAAGGGTGAAAGCACACGGCGCGCGACTGCTCGCCGATCATAGATCCGCCATAGCTCATGAAATATCTAATGCGAGAAGGAAGCGACGGTGTAGATACGTCGCGACGTCGTCGATATAATCGCGGTCGATCGCCAACTTGCAGCGAACTATTTTCCGAGAGATAATTTCCCAACAATATTTATACTTGACGGCTTGACACAAAAGTTGTTTTTCTCACGTTTCTGAAAGAAAACTCTTCAGGCTAACAATAAACATCAACGCAATTCTTTTCAACCAGGACAATTATTGTGCGTTCCGCTATTCTTCCTCGTTGCTGACACTGAACCAATTATATCTAATTTTAAGCGAGTAACATAATTAAATGGGTAATACTGGAATCAATTTGCAAAACGCAGACGCAATAAATATTGTAATTGATTTTATTTTTATCTCATCTTGACTCGTCGGGCTGTTGCATCCCTTCTGCCCTATTTAATTCTGATTAGCTGCCCTTTACAGCTCTGATACCGGTATTCGCTATGCGGCATTCACGCATGTACGAAGTCAACAGACTCGAGTCGAACGCAACTAACTACTTTGCTTATCTCTGCGTCTATTTTTGTATGGCGCACTGGTGTTATTTTTAAAGTAAAGCCCATAACAGACTGTGCACTGGAATTTGAGGGATTCGTCCTGACAATTCCAACCTCCAGTGCATAGACTAATACGAGTTTAATTCAAGTTTAGTGTAAATTTAGTGCAAAATACAGAGAAATTGAAAATTATTACATTGACACGTGTTTCTAATTGAACTCTGGAAAAATTCAGCGGATTCCAAAGTGCATGAAACTTAAAATTCAAATTTAATAAAGCGTTTAATTTCGCATAATTCTTTTTCCGATTTTGCATTTAATTTGCATTAAATACACTTTTTCCGCGCTAAATAAACTCGTATATAATTATTGAATATTAATTGTATTTCTTTTTTTATCAAGTCCCGAAAATCCAAAAGTAATATCAAGATTCGGACGGCCACCTGTCGTTTCCCCGGAATTTCGCACGTTTCGTTCATTCGTGCTTGCGGGAAATGAATGACTTCACTCACCAAGCAGCAGGAGCTTGATGTCCTTGGCCGCTTGGATACCATCCTCCTTGAGATTCTTCTCGATCTGCTTGCTGCGAGCCAGAGCGGCCCGCTCTTCCGCGGACATGGCACAGCCCATCTTGCTACACGTTGCCTTCACAAATGCCACCCTCACACACTTCTTCGCGCACTTGCTGCTAAACAGCGGCCAGATAGCGGCCCCGTCGCCACGGAGAAGACAAGATGATCCCCGGCGCGACTCACGCTTCTCTTCCTCCTCCTTCTTCTTCTGCGCGCCTCCTTAATACCGTCGTCCTCTTCACACTCCACGCCAGCCGTCGTAGTGGCCGTGCTCACCACAAAAGTAATTCTGAAACGCGGCAAACGCGAGCAACGAAAACGTCGACACGTTCCGCACTGTCACCACTGACACCAGCTTGACCGGCAACGGAAGGAGCGCCTTTCCGATCACCGGCACCGTCTCCTCCGCCGCCGCCGCCGCCGCCGCTTCCTCCTCCTCCGCCACCACCGCCGACTTCTTCCTCGTCGCCGTCTTCGTCTTCGTCGTTTCCGTCGTCACCGATGGCAGCTGCACTGACGGCAATCGGCACCGAGCGGTCCCCTACCTGGGCGAATGGACCCCTAATCACCGTCGCACTCGCACTCGATTTAGCCGTACAATTCACCTGCGCCTGTAAACAGAAAGAAAGAATCGAATCAAACCTCTCGTGAGTCCTGTAAGCCTGCTCGACCAGCGAAACGAAACTTTAGCATACCTATAGCGATCGGTTTATGGAAAATTAAGGATTACGAAATGCAGAATTATAGTTCCGACAACTAATTCCGCAGTTGTTACTATCTTAAAGAAGAATTGGAAATTAAATTCTAATATGTGTTTTATTATTTATTAAAATGTCAGATGTTGATCTGAATTTTACATGAAGCTACACATTTATGTACGAACGTATTTTTCGATGTTAAACCAAGACTGGGAAATGACAGTTCTATATTGTAACACATGAATCATTGGTGTCATCATCTCGCAAGTATCCTCGTTCTGGAGGAATCTACTCGTCGTTACAAACGCGTTAAAATAATCGATTACGTGTAAGCGACTCTCTGGATTAGATCGCCGATATCGGCGTTGTTTAACCAATCCTCGCCTCATTGAACGTGTACGCCGAGTACAAAGAGGAGACGGATGACACTACTCGTTTTCGTTCTTCCAGCGATACGAGTATACGACCCCGACTTGGCAGATTGCCCGCGTTTGATACGCCGAAAGGTTCTCGACCAATCGGCGCTGATAACATCGTTTGTTCGTCGCGTCTCGTTATAATTCGAGCGAACCGGATAATAGTTTTATTAACCGAGCGATCGATACGATTTAAGACCCCATCGCCGAGCATGAATTCGATCTAATGTCATTAGTCATCGCAAGTGGAAAATCGAGTTTCACAACAATGTGGAAAATATTGAAGCAACAAAGAATTGCGTAATTTGATTTAATTTAATCACACAATCGATAACTGCTGATTTTCAATGGTTTTTTTTATACCATTTTTTTTAGACCGATGTCATTAACAATCGTTTTCAAACTGTTGTCGATATTTTTATATAGGCAAATTAAAATGTTTTGAATTTAAAATTACAGATATAAACAAAGCATTGTTTACGACGAATTAAACATCGACCATCAAACATGGAAAATTTAGGAATGTAATTCCGTGTAATTACAAATAGATGGACAAAACATGTTCATTACATGAAAAAATATGTAAAATATCTGTATAGTACACGTAAAATTTCGTCTCATAAATAACTAGTGGAATACCGCTTGTTTGGTTAGACGCAATAGTAGAATAGGTTTACGGCTAGTCAGCCTAGTTAACGCAACTTGCGGAAGAATGTTGCAACGTAGAAAGACGGCATTATAATGAAACAAGAATCAAATTGTGAGCCTTGATGAGCTACTTAGGAAAACTCAATCCAAGTTTCCTTCCCCAGTTACCAAGAATAAACCTTAACTTAATCGGAGTTTTATGAAAAGATAGCAATGCTAAATTAGCTTCTCAATTTAAATGCAATTAAGTTTTAATGATAATTATTTAACAATTTGATAAAGAGAAATCGTATTTCAAAATATAAAAAAAACATTTAAAAAAACCTGAAAATCTTAAAAAAAAACTTCAACTTAAAATCGTACATAAATTCTTCTCTACGAGATTAAGTTTCCCACTAACTTTGAGATGCAGCTAATTCGATAAAAAACATTCTGCTAAAATAACAATAATGCTGCGCGGATGTAACAAATATGCAAATCGCAACGAAAACACCGACGAGATGCTCGAAAAACGTCTATATTGAAGAAATAAACTGAATCAAGTATCGATAGCTTTGCACGTTCGGTGTCGAGTGTACGAATTTGCCGTAGAAGTGTCAGTTTCCTTAAATTTTACCGAAGGTACAACGCTGCATGTTCGCGTTTTATTTAATTCACGGCATATAAGATTGCAAATCGAACTCGTCGAAAACGCTCCAGTTCAGCGATGACTGAATTGTTAACTAGCGTGAATCCGCACGACTGCGATGTCCATGGTTTATTCGTTTCTCGGATTGCAACGTACATCTTCGCAAGCACGGCAGTACGTGGAAACACACCGGCGTACGATCAATAAAATGCAACGACCTGATATAATGGAAGCGATACGCGTCGCGCTTCATAAAATACCATCGTGCCGGCATATAGTAAGACTAAAATACGTTTAAGAGACGTAATGCGCGCGCGGAAAAACGAGCGAGAGTCGACCGACCGTGCTCTTCGATTTATCGAGTTCCTCGCGGTTTCATCTCCGGCCTCTCCCCCTCCGTCCGTTCCTCTCTCATCCTCGCGTAATTAACATGCGACAAGGAACCTTTTATAATATGCAAAATAAAATTTCAAAGAAACATTAGCCAAGGCTGAATTCTTAATTATCAACACGAAATATATGTTGTCTTGTACAGGAAATTCAATGATTATATTGTTATTTTTTTACTCTTTGATCTGATATAACAATTATTAGGATTAATTTTGCGACAATGAAAAAATGTAACGTGGGTTTTTAACGATAACGCGCGCGGCTTGGAATTGGTACTTCATTCGGGTTCAGTAGTGCGCAACAGTTTTAGCACGGCAGGAGAGAAGGGATTCAAGCCCTCGGTGCGCCGGAGTTTCGCATGCGTAAGCCGTGCTCAATTGCACGAATAGCGTAGTTAAATATCTAAATATTTTCTGCGTATCTTTTGACATATCTGAAAAATTCACATTAACTCTTGCGCTTAGCACCGCGATGTATTTTGAAAATGCTGTAAAATTGAATCGTTTGATATAATTAATGAATATTACAATTAAGAGACTTAATTTGCAAAATCAATTATTCATGACATCACGTGAAAAAAGAATATATTTGCATTCTATTTTTGTGTTAATTCAAATTAGATTTTTTATTATGATATGAATTAATCATTAAAAGCATTTTGATGTTTAAAGCGATGAGTTAATCATAACAACATAACAACGTTATAATTAATGCAAATTTCAAAATAGTTTTCCAATAAATTTTCCAACCAGTTTTCTGGCTAATTAAAAGATATTACATTTTGCAAATATTGTTTTATGTATCCGAGCGATTTAACGTAGCGGTGACACGACGCGCGAACGGAAGCTCCTATTGATTATGGTCACGCAATATGTATGTTGGATTGTATCTGATAAAATCATTAAAAATGCAACCAGACGCTTCGTCTCTCGCGTGCGTGTTCATCGCGGGCAAGCGAGGGGGAAATTAAAATATATTTTATACAAGAAATGTATTATCGCAAAATTGTCTTTCTTTTTTATATCGCACAGAGATTGAAATGCCCCTCCGTAACTTTGACGAAAACACGTTGACCCACGTGTATCGCGTATATTGCAATTTTATCGTATATTATGAGCGACGTATCGCCCTGCGCGCCGATTACATTCTGCGCAACACGAAGAGCCCGGACTGAACCGCAAAGCGAAATCGTTACTCTCGTATTTTTTATACGTACGTGGTTTTCACCGATATTTTTCGCAGACGCGACTAAAGAAAATACGATAGAATCGATGCGAAGCGAAAATAATAAACGAAATAACACGACTCCGGCGTTAAAAAAAAATGCTTCGAACGTTACTCCACCTTCAAATCGTCGAAAGCGCAACTACGGAATCGAAGAATCGCAATCGTGATAACGAGTGTCGCAAGAACGCGAGAGAAATAATGAAAGATTCGTTAAACAAATAATTAAATAACGCGCGACAAAGACACAAACTCTCGCACTCGGTTAACCATCTTGTGGGCAATCCACCACCTGCCATATTTTCTTCTTCATCAAACTCTCTGCAGACTGCAAAACGAGTAACATTTGCACAGTTTCGGAGCACCCTTTGCATTTTCCGATTTTTACCTTCCCTCTCCGCGCCACCCCCCGAGGAACAGAGAATCGTAGCAGTTAACGGGTGAATCGAGCGTCGGCGTATAGCGTACTCCAAAAGGAACCCCCGCCCTCTCGCTCTCCATCGCTCCTTCTCTTTCCCTCTCGCGCTCCCCTTTTCCCACTCGACCTGTCTCTGTCCCTCCCACGGAGCCAGGCCGCGGCCAGGGGGTAGCTCTCGACGGTGTCGCACGCAAAGCGAACGTTCTCTCCGCCCGGCGATCCGTCAATACGGATCGAAGCCGTGTGTTTTAACGTCTACGCACCTCCTTCACGTATCCTGGATGACGTCGAGATCCTCTCGTCGTATCTCCTTCTCACTCGTTACCCCTTTTCTCTCTCTCGCTGCCTCTCTCGTGTTCTCTCTATCCCCCTTTCGCTCACGGCCTCGTTGTTCCCGGAGTTAGTTTTTTTCACGCGGTTCAGACTATTTGATCGATATTCCGAGAGAGCGGTTTCCGGCAGAGGAGCAGAGAAATCCGCTCCGGGGATCCGACCGGGATGATCCGGGAGGTGGAGCAGTTAGGCGAGGCTCGAGCCGCGCGGCGCAAGAGAGACTTCTCTCTCGATCCCGGCAGCGTAGCGGCGACGACGACGACGACGACGATCAGGACGACCACAAAGACGACGGCAGCAAAACGGCACACCGCTGCGCGAGAAACAGACGAGCGAGGGAGCGTACGTGCGTGCGTGCGTACGTGAAAATGCGTGCGTGTGAACGGGCGACAGATACGATACGTGTTATCGCGTCTCTCGTTCTCCGGCGGCTCTACGTCCGTCCGTCCCGTCTCCCGTTTCTCGCTCCCTCCGCGTAGGGCGCAAAATTGCACCCGGAGGGGTCTCGGCTACTTACAGAAGTAGTTTCACAGTTCCCGGGCGCTCGCGGCACGCCGCGAACGACGTCGACGTCGACGTCGATGGCGACCGGTCGCGAGGACCGGAAAGACGAGAGATGACGGATCCTCCCGGCGGCAGCGGCGGCCGCAGCGGCCGGCTAACAGTCACCGTCGAATGTGTGCGCGATCGCGGATAAACTCGCACGACGCGACCCGTCCGTCTCCTTCCGAAAGGACGTGAAGGGTATACGCGCGAGGTGGAACACAGTTAGGCTCCGGCGCCGTGCTCTCCGTGCTGCCCGAGCGACGATCACGGGGAGGTCCTCGCGCGTTGTTCCGGATTCTCGAGAGGGGATACGCAGCCCGGCAGCTGGTGCTCCGCGAAAGTCGCACTCTCTTGACAGCGGCGAGCTGAACGCGTACTGGCGAGAGTCGGCCGACGATCGGGGCGACCTCTCGCCCCACCCGACGCCGCCGCCGCCGCCGCCGCCGCCGCCGCCGCCGCCGCCGCCGCCGTCATCACCACCACCATCGGTCGCCGTCGCCGCCGGCGCGCCGTCAAGAGAAGGACGTTAATCGATCCCGGACCGGCCGGCCGCTCGTCTCGTATCGTGCCGAGAAACGAACGACCCCCGGAATCGCGCACCGATCAAGTCGACGCTCGATCTCGATTCTCGAAAACCAAGTGTCCGCCGCGCGACATCGTCTGATCGCGCGCAGCATCGCAACGCTTGCTCTCGTGAGATTGCGAAGCTTGTTGTACGGGATGGATCGCCGTCGCGAGCGGACATTCACCTCTGTATTTTATATCGGAACCTAGCATATAACTGCGACCTTTAACCGATTTTCATAATTGATGCTTATCGTTCGCCTTTTGCCGCCCGCGTTCTTAGGAACGAACAGAAGTAAGGGCGCACGGTGTCGGTTATAAATTGAGAGCTGAGAGTCTCAGATCTTTGCCAATTTTCGCGGCTTACGTTATTATGTTTCTTATAATTTATCGTGCAACGCTAGAATCATTTTTATAACATATTACAATTTTTTAACTTTGTTTTTACAAGAAGCTGCATGTTTCAATAAACTTTGTTTATAGAGTAAGAAAATAATTTTTAAACTTTTAGAATAAAAAGAATATAATCTGATATAAATATACTTTTTTTTAAAGCGATACATCATCAATCATTTTTGATCGCTTATAATTTGGCAAATGTCTTAGAAATTATGAGAAAATTGATAGACTTACCTTATAACTTGCACGTTACACGATGATCTATTCATTGCGAATTCCTTGCTACGCGCGATATTAAAACTATTTAAAATCGCATTCTCTAAAATCATCCCAAGTCGAAAGACGCGCGCAATGATTTATGCAGCTTGCACAGGTAAGGGAATACAGCTTGCTTTATTACCGAGTAACGACTTTATAACGTAATCGCTGGTAGCGTAAGTAGTATTGAATAATTGCGGATCAAAAATGTTACTGGTTACACAATAAAATCGTACGCCACGTTGTGAGTTCGCGCTCCGCGCGTGTACAAACAGTACGCGATTCTCCCGATCAGGAATTCTTTGCTGGCGAGTCAATTTGCTTTGTCTCAATTACATATCGAAGCAGGGATCAGAGGTCGTGAAAATAACAACCGTGCGGCTGCTCAATCACAACTTCCTAATTCGCAATCTCTCGTTATTTCATTCAAGCGAAAAAAGAGTGGCTCCAGGCCGTTCGACTGTTTGGAGATTGCGAATTAGGCTCATCTGTGCGCTCATCGACTCGAAAATAAATCGATTTCCCTGTTTGAAAAGCGCCGTCAAGTTTGCTCGTGTGCGCTTTACTTATTTACATCTACTTGGTATTCGAGTTTCTTGAAATGTCAAAAGCGTCTGCCACAGTAATCGGAATCGAAAGCTCATAAAGGGTAACCAACAACACACTTTCGTGCATCGAGGCTCACCGCGACTGTCGTCAAATTCTTTGAAAGCCTCGTGAAAAACGATAAAAACGATAAACTCATGTTGCTCGAGCAATATAAAAAAAAATATAGAGCAGCCATGATGGTCGTTATACCGTGTTTTCAGAACGTTTCTTACGTTGCTTTTATTATATTCCACAGTTTTCTTCTTTTTCGTTCTCGTTATTACAAAGTATTGCTAAAAACATGTTAACAGTATGAACTTTCGATTTAGTTTTATTTGATAATACAGAGTGTTTCGCCGGCGCGGACACGCTCCCGAATCACCCTGCACAATGTTCCTACGCGAAGAATTTATAACGACGACTTAGTTAAATGTCTCTACTAATGATGTAACATGATTTCGTTACACACGACGCCACTCATTTAATATAACTACATCGTACACGTATAAAAATAACGTTTCTATTGTTAAAATATTTTTCAACATATTCAGAGTTTAGAAATAACTAATTCGATGGCCGCCGTCGCCATTACGTTCGCTCGTCTTCCTAAAATTGGATTCAAGATACTTGATTTTCGTTACATAAACTACAATTATATGTCATATCAAAAAGCATAGTATAGATACATATTTACTATATATATATATATATAGTATATATATATATACACATATACATATACATATATATATATATATATCACATACACACACACACACGCGCGCGCGCGCGCGTACGCATTACAGAATCAGTGTTGCATGACGTGTAATATCAAAATAATGTGTGATCACGATTTTATATATAAATTTTCCGTTCTTATATAAATTAATCGAGCAACATTTAACTCGTATCCGGGCAAGCTGAGCTTTTTTTCAATTCCTCGAAAGTTATAGTTACTTCCTAAAATACATTTCTTAACTTTGTAAGATTATCTTGGATTATATGAAGACAAATATATTTTCATATAATTTTTATAAAAAAAATAACGTTATACCCGTTTGTCTTTTTAGAAGATGGGCTTGCCGGATAAGGGTTAATCCAAGTGTAATAGAGATAAGCGATTCAATTTGTCATCGATGGATACCTCGAAAATGACTAGATTACCGCAGACGGAAAATATGCGCGGGCGTGCGTGTGCGATCGTGTTGAAGTGCGAATAGTTCGTCAAAGTTAAAAGCGGAAAAAGTGATTTACTGCTTCCCTATTTTACGCCACTTGCTGTATACGCTAGCTACATTCTGTGCACGAGTCGCTTTGAGTGAGAAGACCTCGAGAGGAAATCTTGGCTCTTTCGAGAGTGAACATTTACTATCCTTCGACGATCAACGAAGGTCGGTGCATACTCTACACACGTATGTGCATCAGCCTCTCATTACGGAACGGAGGAATGTCGTCCCTCCTGCTTTGTCGCGGACGTACGTGATACGGGAATACAACGTGACACCCACACAGCCTCCTCGCCGCGCTAGGCTAGGTTGACGATCTTCGGAGAAGAAATAAAGGCGATGTATGACCGTGCACGTCGAACTTATGCGATAAATCGAGAACGAAAATAAAGTTACGTTAAGATAGGCACATATATATATTACAATGTATCTTTATTACCTAAAATATGCACTTTGAAAGTATTTTCTTTTTTTTTCGAAAGACTTAGAAGGCAGGCAAGGGGCAAAACGACATTCGGGAGCCAACGACTGGAAGGGCGCAAAACGAAAGGGTCGAGTGACAAGAATGCCGATGATCTACTGAGCACGTCTCGATGATTCGGCTAATTTTTTGCTGTCATACATGGTCGATCGGGCCGGCGAATGGTCCGATACGAGAATGAGCAGGTTGTCAATTTGTCGCCGGTCCGCAACAAAACGCGAGCTCTAACAAATCTCCAAGCAACAATGACGATTATTCCCGGTAAAATTCAATTTTGATTCAGCCTGTACAATAAGTCGTGAATTTACTCAAAGATTCTGGCGGGATAATCGCGATAACAACAACATGCGCGACGAAATAAAATGACGTTTATGAATCGTCTTAGCCAAATCATTGCTGTATTCGCACATATTCGTATTATAATTCTATCTATAGTACACAAAACAATAACACTAAAAATTATTTAATTCGAGTAATTCTATTTTAATTAATATAATTTTTTCTTGTATATATAGTAAATTATTGTATTTAAACGCACGCTTACGCCTAGCTGCATACGATTTTCTTATTTGTGGTTTCTTCTTTTCTTTAATAATATATAATATAATAATATACTATGTCGCATATAAAAAACAATTACTTAGTATAGAGTACAAGATCGTTCCTTAGTTAAGTTTATAGATTTTTTGTTTTTTTTTTTCCCCTTTTTCGCAACTATTTATATAAACGTAAGACGTCGTTCATTCCTAAATGAACATGCTCCCGCCGCTCCCAGAATAATTAGAAATCAAGGTATAGAGAGATATCGTTGTGCCGATTTGTCAAAATAAAACGAGGAAGAAAATGTTTTCTATCGTTGAGGTGCATGAAAAATTAAATAGCATCGTTCAAGCCACGTGAATGCATAAAATTAGTTCGGCTCGTGTGCGATGAATTTTTCTGTCGTTAATTTTTTTTTGTTTTTTTTTCGAAGCACAATAATACGTTATCTTACTCTCCTCTCACCCCCTCCCCCTCCTAAACGATGAATCATCAGAAAATTTTGCTACATCTAATCAGGTTTTATATTATTGAATACATCTTGACACAACTTTAAATGCAAATGATAACGCGTTATCCTCGTGCGCCGCGAAATATACAAGCTAAGAACATTCTCGTGGAAAATGTCACTTCGCGCAAAATGACTTTGGTCACACATTCTATATATCCAGACGCGTGTTCAACGCGTGTAATCGTTATATTGCACAATACTCGCTGCTACTTAATTAACGACGCACGATTTATCACGGATAATTGGACAACTATGATATTCCGCGGCGGCGATACGCCGCGCCGTCATCGCGCGTATTTATTCGCCTAACGCGCCAAATCGCGATTAAATGTCCGAGAGGTTCGCAAACGAAGGGTAAACTGACATCGAATACAAAAAAAAAATAAAAAGGGGGAAAAAATAAAGGGATACAGAAAAATATCGTATAATAATAGAATAGTCACAACATGTCAAAAACGTGTGGTGTGGTCGGCCGCAGTGCGTACGCGATCAACCGCCGGGAACGGGGGATCAGCATTGAGTGAACTGCCATTTCTCGATCTTGGTCGGCGTAGTAGTTTATCCAAAGTTGACCGTCCATCCGATTTAAGCTAAAAATTTCATGAGGTGTCATTTTGGTTGGCAGGTCTGAGCGTTCACCTTGTATGTTCGTGTCTGTGGTGTGAGATCGAGCCAAGGCACCGATAAATCCGGCTGCTCTAGCTGAAGAGGCACGCGACATCGCGATGTTGCTGCGTCAACAGAACTATCTGCTCCACGTTCCGCCTCCGCATCCTACAAGATTCGTTTTCTCAGTGTCTTTTGCAATACCAGTAGTGTCGCATGTATATCAATGTGAGAAGATACGAGGGACACACGGTAAACGCAGTAGCAACGATCGAATCACGGTGCTCGGAATCGAAACAACAACTTTCAAAGTGGTGCGCAGAGCACTTCCTACCTTAATCTTTCTTTGTATGGAGTTTTCATACCTAGATAAAAAGGAAAATCCGCGTTATTTGCCTAGAAGAGAATTCACTCTTAAACATTTTATTCTTAAGAATCATTCTGAGATTGTCCGCGACATACTTGCGTATTTTAATCAACTTGTATCGAGAATTACAAAGTATTGTAACTATAAAATTTTTTTTTTTTTTTTTTTTTTTTTTTAGACGATTAGATTTTCTCGCACGTGTCTCACCCTCGACGAAGACGGATTTATGCAACCAGACGGATGTGCACCTCCCGTTAAGTCAACCGAATGACTTCGCGACTTTATTCGCGAATATAAAAACATGTTACTCACCATACTCGCGCTGGTAGAAGAGGCGGGCGTGGTAGCAGTGGTAGGCACCGTCAATATTGAATAATATTATCTACTACTGCAAATCCACAGGCACCTAAGCCCGCAGTCGACATTAAATGGACGAGCTCTCTGGCGTGAGATGCCGCAACTTCCAGCGGTGGCCGACGGGGTAGATTACTAGACCCTGTTGATCACACGCATAATTAATCATTCAATTAACAACGGCCGAGATTCTGAGATGTCACGATCGTTTTACCACCGCAGAGCCAAAATTATTCATACCAAGAATAGCAGAGTTCAACCTCGCGCAGACTGTTTCTCTCTGCTGAGGATCGAGTTGCCAACCGACCGGCGAGTTCCACGGATTGGAATACGCCAATAGACTGAAAGCATCTTGCAGCATCTTCTTATTGCTCTCGTTCTTCCCATACTGCTGCCTCAGATGTATCGATTGTGAGTACAACTGTCTGCCAAACTCCAGCATCTTCTCAATCGCCTGCTTGTTACCACCGCACAATTGCTTCTTGTTATTTTTACTCGTCGTGCTATCAGTAATGTTGCTAGTCTGCTGTTGACTTTGATTGGCACTGTTGTCGATTTCTGCAAACGGCAATGTTCGTTTCAAACATTCTATATTTCTTAAACATTATCTAGATCTTAAAATAGTATCTTTAGATGTGTTACGTAAAAGATTATTTACTTTCTATAATTATTCATATCGCAATTCAAAGTTGTTGCAATACAATCGAGATCTCACCCATATCTACATCTTCTCCGTTTTGACACTTGTAGCCATTTGCGTCCAGATTACCATTCTGATATCCAGTACTGTTCTTAACACCATTTATGGCATTGACATTGCTCTCTTCCATGTCTACATCATCCTCTATCTGACCGTTAACGAATTGCGGACCACTGGTGCCGTTCATCGTATTATTGATGTTCATTTCTTCCACGGTGCCAGTTGCTGATTTCGTGTACGCTTTGGTTGACTGTATGACACTAGTCTGATTAGGATTGCCATTGCTCTGACACACTTCCGAATCACTGCCGTTCACCATCTCCACGAATTGACGACATTTGAGCGCAAACAGCAAATCCGGGTCCTTTTCCAGAAGTCCGGGATATAATCGACTAGTCACTTCTATCGCCTCCCCCATCCGACCGGACAGCACCAGCTTTATAATTTCTGTGGAACCACCGTTGTAAGTCAAAGATACAACACAGATTTAGGTCAGTAAGAATTGCCAGGTTTTTTTTGCCAAATTTCAAAGTATAAAATTAATATATACGAAGAACGTTAATTATTTGAGTTTAACCATTTTTATTTTTTTATTTCTTTTAATTTTCTATATAATCTGAATATTTTCCTTTTTTCTTTGTGTTTCTTCAACCTGCAGAAAGTCGAGAGGTTGCGGTCGAAATGTTCTTTGTCGTTTGCTTTAAAAAAAACCATACAATTCTAACGTTCTTTTTTTGAGCAATGAAAGGAATGCTTTTTGAAACTTTCAGATTGTTTGCAAAAGTGGCAATCCACGAGCAGGGTCACAGTTGAAGCCACGGGATACTTACTCTGGCGATTTTTTATCGAGTTGTAGTCCTCCTCGAACACTTGACCAGTGCTGCTGGCAAACGCCTCGGCGGTGTCCCAGTAACCATGGTGGACGAGATACGTGGACACCATTCTTTGAATTTATAACAGAACTCTGTTACACATATGAGGTAATAAATCTACGACGATAATTCTTTTCCGCCCGCTAGTTTTCTCGATTTGTCGCGCAAACGCTTGGGAGAAATTCTCACAAATCAAGGAGAATCATAACGGATAACAGTAACAAACGAAGGAAAGAGGAAAAGCGACAAACCACAAGGAAAAGAATACTGGGAGGCAGGAGGGAAACGAAATATTCGCTTTCCAGATGAATACGTACTTGTGAAGGATTGCCTGCCACTGGCCCTGGCCGTGATCTGGCGTGGGATAGTTTATGATCTGTAATCTTGTTCGTACGCGCAGTTCGTTGATCATGTCCCCAATGTCAAAGACAAACGGCAGCTGTCCGAAGTTTGCGTCCACTACCTCGCCCGGAGTCTGCAGACCGACTGTCGGAAAAAGATTTGGCTGCGAAAGCGAATTTTGAGTTAAATGTCAGTTTATCACATTCGCGTGCGTGAATCGCACGGTCTCCGAATAATATATATATATATATCACAATATCGTAACAAAATAATCTTTATATATATTTATGTGTGTGTATGTGTGTATGATCTAACAGTCAAATCATAGATTTATAATCTGTGTTTGAGCTTCTTGAAATCCTAATTGATCAACTCTATGAAGAAAATATAGAAAAATAGATAAACATTTGCACCAATCAATGGCTCATTTCCGAGACATACAAATCTCAGTGAGAAATAATAAATAAATTTTCTTCCTTGCGCACGAAGAAAAATGAAGTGATTTATTATTTATCGTTGAAAATTGTGAAAAAATGTTTATCTCCATCAGGGACATCAGGAAATTTAAGTTTCTAATTTATCGTCTCTTTCCTTTTTTTTCAGATATTTTTCAGATATTGACGCCCGTTTTGAAATACAACACTATTTTTCCTCCGTTTACATCATTGAGCGAATGACTTACGGGGAGGTCAGTAAAAGCGATGCCCAAGTGATGACCATTTTTTGTGTAGAAAGCAGTGTTGTCGACGAGATTTACGCCGCAACCAATCACGTCACCGGTGGTGAAGGTTGGACCGTAGGGTTGACCAGTACCACTTGAACAGAAACTGTGACCATCGTCACCGTGATAGCCGTATGACTGCTTATCCCAGCCAGGCAGTCTATTTACGTTGACACCTTGTACCGAGAGGCCGATTCCCATGTAACCGTCACGACCTTTGCTCACAATCTTCACCTCGAAGTAATACAAGCCGCATGAAGCCGGTATCGAGTGCGTCGCGCGAACGCTGGCAGCGTCTTTGTGTGTTTTGCCGTAACCTGGAGAACGAAGGCATCCCCGACTCACTTTATGGGAATCGGTAATGAAATAGAATGTAATAGAATGGCCATAAAGTCCGTGTCGTACAAAAATTTCAGTTTGCAAATGATAAGCGCGTTAAAATCAGAGAAAGAAGCACATTCACGAGTGGGATGTATCTCCGCGGCATTAAGAATCAAGGTCATCGTGTGGCTCGTAGATACAAAGACGAGTTCCAACATATCTCTCCTGCCTACTCCTTCAGCTGCTCTTCTATTACTGGACTATAGAATAAAATGTGGTTACATAAATGTGTTAGAATGATTTATCAAGCATAGCAGAAAAGATTTATCAAGGATAGTTATGTATTGAATGGACAATGTTAATTACTCGATTAGTAAACGACTAAAACGAGAGTTTATAAAACTATAACAAAGTATATTTATAAAAGTATAAAAGTATATTTAGTACAAAGATAGAATTTATTTCTAGATATTTTAAATAAATCAAAATCACGATACCTGTAACAGAAATTGAAACTTAAATCTCCGGTTATCGTAACACTTTGATGTTCAAAGTTAAATATTTTAATATCTTGTAAGTAAATGTAATTATTAAATATTTGAATATCTTGTAAATGTTAACTATTCTTTTTTTCTGCTTCTAGTCTACTCACTGGAGCAAGTTAAGCCAAGTCGGCGGGCAGGTCTCCGTGCGAAGATAGAGATAAGCGAGAACTATGGTCACCTTCGAGATACACTATGTGCCTTAGACGCGATGCGAAATATCGATTACGAGTGTTACTGCATGCATTAATATGCGGAAGAGCGCGCGTCTAGAGACGGAGTTGTAACAAGTGAAATGGACTTGGGCTTTCACGCAATGTAATTTGAAATATGAGCGATGTGCACATTTCGATGTGCAACGCATCGCAGCGCAACGCTCACGCTATGCCGATAAACAATGCCCACTTTAGGAAGCGACTTTCGCGTATGCGAATGTGGAAATTCTTAACATAGATCATTGTCGAAGTTACGCAATGAAATATCTCAAGCATGCACAAAATATAATATGCTTACAAAATGTATGTTTTTCTCTCAAACGAAATTTCAAGAAATTGCAACTCGGAATCTTCAGTTATCGTGATCTTTTTCGGGATTAAACGTTTTAATTGTCTCAAGTAACATTTATATGGGAATAAGCTCCATTGTTATAAAAAGTAATGTGTCGTTAAGTTGAACTATATTAATTACAAAAAGGAGCATGATTCACTAGAGCGGATGTAAGTAGGGCATTGGGTCACCACGCGGCACATCGATGCAATATTACAAGCTTATCCACGATCTGTGATCTATGAGTTTCTATGTTACGCGCATGTCTCTCGCCCTTACACAACGTAATATGCCGTGGCATCATTTATACACCGCTTTTATTACATCGTAACAAGAATTATATTCATGTCTGTGTAAACTCCAACAAAATTGCTAGAGCAAAACTGTTATAGCATTTAAATTTAGGAATCAACTATGTTATATCGTAATATTAACATTAATCTGAATCGCGAATCTTTTTCTCTGAGTAACTAAGTATTATTTATTGCAAAATAATCATTAAATAAAATAGATACTTAAACACGAGATTCTATCTATAAAATAATGTGAAATATTATATTTAAAATATTTTATTTTTAAAACTAATGTAATAACGTAATGTTTCTTTGCGGAGAAGTCAGAAGCTGTCTTGGAGACACTCCTTATTGATGTAAATAAACTAATGAATATACTCGGGTCCGAAGTAATTCGATGGCTGAGTAAGCATTTAAAATAGTTGAGAAAGCAGTTGGTTAATGCACATATTGCATTTAATAAATCATCTTACTGAATCAAAATAAGATACAATGTGCTTTTATTCTATTTTTTTTAATTAATTTAATTTTCAATTTACTTTTAAGTTAAGCGATAAATTTATGAAAGTAAGTTTTTGTCCTGTCTCTAATTTCCGACTGTACTAAATTCAGAAAGAGAAAACTCGCTTAACTCCTCAATTAACGTTAGTTAATATTTATAAGAGTTGGCTTTCTAAATATTTGATTAAAACCGCTAGTTCATCAATTTTTAGCTACTCGCGCAAGCAAACGTTGCGTGAAGGATGTGATGGAAACCGAGACATCCGGTCAGCCCGTGTTTACGGCATCTAAGTAGTGCATTATGTAGGTATAAGTGCGAGCAAGATGAGAACAGTTAAGGGCTAACGGTAGATGCACTATTGCGGGCGGCTACGGCGGCCTTCCGCTTTCTCAGGCACTCCTAGCTTGATCCGACGAAGGCCACGTGCACTCGTTCATCGCGCCGAGCCGCGATTCGTAAACAGATGCGCATTCGCAGCCGAGCTTGATTCCTACACCGCAATTCCACGCCGTGTTTACTCGCCGAAATCGTTATCGCGGATGTTTGTGTAAACGAGAAATGTTTGGGTCCGACAAATCTTCAAAACTCACAGAAATAATCGTCACGATTCGTCTTTTAATTAGAAACGCATGAGCTGTCGCGGAAGCATCGCGGCCAAGCGTGGTTGCATTTCATTATAATCGTTGTGCGTAGAATGATTTTAGCAGATATGTAATGATTAGCAGATACATTGCAGAAGTACAATCACATTTCTCATCTGCGGTCTGTTTAATTAATAATTTGAAGAATTTGCAGAAAGAATTTGAAGAATTTGTTCTTAAAAAAATACCAAGTGCCAATAATTTGTAAATAAGATTGCAAGAAAGTAACAAATACATATAAATATATTTGAATATGTATATATAAAATAAATTGTACATTTATTGTAAATTTATCAAATATTTATCAAATTTTATTTTAATAAAATTAAAATAAAATTTAAAAAGTGATCTAAAAACAAAATGTTTATATTGCAGGTTGAAATTGTCAAGATGGTTCGAGACGAATACTACAACTTTACAGAATACTAAAGAGACAACGATCGAAGTTAAATTAGAGGATTCGCTGGCGACGGATATTATCGACGCGCAGAATGGCTAACGTCGAGTAATGTACGCGCGTGTATTATGCTTCATCATGTCTGCCACGTATCAAGATAGCATGGTTCACTTTCCATTCATAATAATCGCAATTTCAGCAGTCATCGCGATTAATCGCGATTAATCTCCTGCGAATGTTTATTCTGCAATTATGAATAAAGTGCTAATATGCATACTCAAATTATATGTATAAACAACTATTGCAATACTTGTGTCTTACAATTTTGCTGTGATATCGAAGTTTCTGCAAAAAGAAAAAAATAATAATACATATTGTTTTTGTTCTTTGTAATAGTTACATATATATCTAATGTCCATATTCCTTTTCACAGATCTCGACGCCAATTTTACATAATAGCGCTCAAGTAATGCGGATATTATAATTTAATCTCTCTAAGAAAACGAGATATTAAAAATGAAAATTTAGAAAACTCCTAAATGGAAGAAAGTAATTGCTAATATTATTTTGCTCGTGCAATAATCAGCAAACAGACGATAATTTTCGATAATTTTTGTTTGTTTTATTTTGTTTTTTCTGTCAACAACTTTTATGTATTGTCAGATTGAAAAACCGTAAACATAATATTTGTCGCAGAGCGCATCATGTTCGTCGAGCGTGAACTCGGCTAAAGCCAATGTATAACGCAAATTTACGCTTTAAATGCATGTCATTTTTCTCATGCGTATGTGCACCCAAAGAAACTGATAAATGCGTCGCGAGCCCAGTCGTTACTGTCGTCGTGTACGTTATTGCTGCTTACGACACGCGAAAGCTCTACGATACAGCCTGCACTGAACAAGCACAAGAGACGCAAAGAGAAAAAAAAAAAGATTCATCTCTTTCTGGCAAGGCTGACTCCCGATATAACGAAACATACTTTGTTGCATCAAGTTTCAACGACGATGAAGCAAAACGCATCG